AAATCGCATAGTAAATATTTACTGATGGCCAACTGAAGAGAGTTTAAAGAAAACTGTTCACTGGGAGTAAAGCACTTTATGTATAAAATGTAGCCTTGGGCCCGGCCAAGGTGGCAGAAGTAGCAAATCACCGGGCAATGCTGGAACCCCTATGTGATATCAAAGTTTGGTTCCCAGGAAGTTCTGTGCACACCTGGTACGTCCATGATCCTGGCTGCGTGGGAAGACTGAGGAGGGGATTGTGGCATGAGATTCTGTTGAAGGTGCTTGTATTTTTCTTTCTCTCTCTCATGAAAGAAAGAAATAATAAACTTAAAATTTTTTTTTAATATAGCCTGTGAAAAAAATGACCCATTTGGTAGGGCAGCCTGAGGCTCTACTGCAAAGGGTTGGGCAGGGATGGGGAAGAAAGGAGGAGGGAGCTAGGAAAGACAGTTCAGTCCTACAGGCAGGCAAAACAGCACATCTATTCATTCTAACTACCCTGGCTTCACTGTCTCCTGCAAAACACAGCAAGTGCTATGAGCACAGGGGTAGAGATTCTAGCTTGCTGTTCACTGAAGGTTTCCGTAAAGGGAATCTTTGTTCTATAACTAACAGACTGCCAGACACTGCAGAAACTTGAGATTGTCTTGCTACCCACTCATCTTAGGTATCCTTTAACAACTACCCACTCAGTTTTTGATCACTATATACCGTGGGAATTTCTTATAAACAACATATAATGACAAAAAAGTGGAAAAGACTTGGGAAAATATAGTATTATGGAGTATGATATCAGAAAGAGTAGAGCCTTTGTTAATCTAATAATCCTTTCTAAAAGAACGGCTAAATTGGGGTAGAGATATGTGGCTTTGATACTATTCATATAATCATTCTTATGTTTAAAAGCAAATGCAAGAGTAAACTACTGGCATCAGAAATGTTTACTAACTGAACACTGACAACATTCTTAGTACAATACAGTTTAACACAAGTATGAACATGTGTATGTTTCAAATATTGGCAAATGGCCTCAAAACGAAATTCTCAGCAAGTTTTTGAAAATTTATTCACAGTTCAGGCTGTCGCTTAACAAGACGTGAGGAAAAAATAACCAACTGGCTCAGGAAATGATTCATTTCAAAGAACACAACACTGAAACAAAGCAAGGATGATTCTAAAATTTCCACCTCACGAGAAGTATAATTTAAACAAATAGCAAAAGTTTTATTTGAACAAAACACATTCAACCACAGAACATTCATTTCTATATTAAATCTGCAAACTAATATAGTAAGAAAGGGAATTCGAGAATTTCCTAAATTGTTCTCATTAGCCATTATTTATGGTATGTTACAGAACATTCGATATCAAGCTATTACAGATGTACAAGTTAATATGGCATAACTTCACAGTCTTGCTGGTTGACTATGTTTTTGATTTTTAACCCTGGATACTACTGGTTTGAAGTAATGTTATCAATCTTACTGGTAATCACTGTCAAAGATCTGAAAATATGCTTATATTCATCAAGCTAGGAAGATACTAAAATATTAACAGTCTTTTAAGTATAGTGGGGGAAAAACTGACTTAAGTGTTAAAATGGCTCAACTTGAGACTCTTTAGTAGTAAAAACAAAGTAATCTGAAATCTATTTCAGTGGGTAAAACACTGCCTGGTATTCTGGTACACAAAATTGATTAGACAGCTAAAACATCTTTACCATTCCTTCCTTCAATTTCTTTGGCCTTCATCAGTTCCACAGAACATTCATTTCTATATTAAATCTGCAAACTAATATAGTAAGAAAGGGAATTCGAGAATTTCCTAAATTGTTCTCATTAGCCATTATTTATGGTATGTTACAGAACATTCGATATCAAGCTATTACAGATGTACAAGTTAATATGGCATAACTTCACAGTCTTGCTGGTTGACTATGTTTTTGATTTTTAACCCTGGATACTACTGGTTTGAAGTAATGTTATCAATCTTACTGGTAATCACTGTCAAAGATCTGAAAATATGCTTATATTCATCAAGCTAGGAAGATACTAAAATATTAACAGTCTTTTAAGTATAGTGGGGGAAAAACTGACTTAAGTGTTAAAATGGCTCAACTTGAGACTCTTTAGTAGTAAAAACAAAGTAATCTGAAATCTATTTCAGTGGGTAAAACACTGCCTGGTATTCTGGTACACAAAATTGATTAGACAGCTAAAACATCTTTACCATTCCTTCCTTCAATTTCTTTGGCCTTCATCAGTTCAGCGTGAGCTATGTTCTTTATCAATAAATACTTTTCAATGACATTGTGCTATTTTACAAAAATCACTTACGTTGTCCTTTATTGCTATGGTATATTCCAATTTTTAAAAAAAGAGAAGAGAAAAATCTGACCCCAAAGGACCTCTACAAATATGCTTATTAAAGCAAACATTTCAGCTGGTTCTCCTTCTTTGAAGAGTAATATGAATAAACACTAGGGGAGTATCACCGAGGATACTCACGCATTTCACTTCTTATGAACACAGTACCCTCCAAAATGTGGACTATTGTGCAAGTAACCACATCCAATCACTGACAGTACTTAACCCAGCTCAGGTCCACCTCTGTACTCTTGTCACCTGCTCCTGCCAAGGAACCTGGTCTTCACTCATCAGTCCCCCTGGGGACAAATGGACCCTGCTTTAGAGATGATGAAATTGTCAATGCCTAGTACAGTGATTTACCCATAACAGGTATTAACAAATACCTGCTGATGTAGTTATAGCAAACTAAAAATAATGTTAACTTTTCTCTTATCTTGTATTCCTAGGACATAGGTGATTTTTTAAAAAGCTGACTCTGAAGGAACTATTATTTAATAGGCCATTGGTCAGATGCTACACCTGTCCCCTTGCCAAAAAAAAAAGAAAGAGCTCATGGGGTAAGGAACTCTGAGTTATAGATGTGCAAATTTAAATTTTAAATGTGCTACAAGAAAGAACTTTTTATATGAAAGACTCCTTTTATAGAATATCTCTTCTGAAAAATCATATTTTCATCTCTTACATTACATTAGTTTTAACCAGGTATGCTTGCTTACTTGGTGGCTTCCCTCATTAAAATATCTTTATTGGATTCATAATTAATTTACAAAAGCATTTAAAAATTACTATATCAAGTGGGGTAGGAAAGAAGGGAGAGGGAAGAGAAAACACATTTGTTTGGAAAAGACCACTTCTTTAGTCTTAATTTGCCTTTTGATAGTCAGTTTAGAACTTACCCTAGCTTGGGGAGAAAAGAGAGAGATGGAGATAGAGAGAGAGACGGACAGACAGACTGACTTAGAGAAAGAGACACCCAGGAACAGAGACAGATTATTCAAACTAATGACTGATTTCATCTATTAGTTTTAACTTAGAATGCTGAACCAAACTTTATACTTTAAGAAATACTACAAACCCATACAAATCATGTGTGTAAAACAAGACTACACCAAACAGAAGAAATGACACTAAATGTACTAAAACTAGCAGGCTTACACAAAATATTCTTAGAAACACTTAAAGTAAACAAACAGTATAAGTATAGTACCATATATGTGATGTAAATATTGACCCTATTTTAGTTTTAAAAACAATCAAGTTCCTAGTCCCCATCTATAAGAGTCCTTCTAAATTACTTCAAGATACTCCATTTCCTCCTCTAATCCTAATGCACAAGCACAATTCTATGCTTCTCTTGTAGCAGTAATAGCTAATAGAAAACCTTAATCTCATCAAGAAGTTCAAACACAAAAAAAGAAAAGACTGAGATTACTTAAGTGATTGTGCTACATATCTCACAATTTAAAAAACTTTTGAAAGAGAAGGACTTAATCAAAGCACAAACACACTCTCCTATAGCCCCCAAGATCTGGCCAACATAGCTCTATGAAGAGAGCCTTACTCACAATTTTGGGGTGTCAAACTAAGATGCTACTTTAAATAATTCAGACCATCAACTTCTACTTCTGACATTCACAAGGGAAAGGCACCTCAATATCACTTTATTTACACCTGCTTCATTCCTAAATTTATTTCAGGGTTAGAGCACAAAAAAATGCAGAGAGGAAAAATACCTAGGAAATCGTTCTAAACTCGATGCCTATCCATGTGAAGCGCAGAGCCTTTTTTGAGCCTAGCCTACCACATACATTCAAATGATTAGTCAAGAATTTCCAAATCTTTATTATTTATTTATTTTTAGAGATTTTTGCTATAGGGCGTGTGCGCTCACCAGAGATACAGAGAGAAACAGAGAGTCAGAAAGTGGGAAATCACCCCCCGGGGGGATGGCCATGCCACAATCCCCTCTCCTCCATTCTCCTCTCGGGATTTTGGGCACGTACGCACACATGCCTGGCATGAGTTTAAGCCACCGGGTCTGGGACTCAAACTGCAGATGACTATGTGGGAGTCCAGCAACGTAACCATTACATCATCTGCTGGTCCCAGGATTGCAAATCTTCTAAACGACTGCAAAGAACTTCCAAATTATCACTGAAGTACTCCTTTTATGCCACAAGAGAGTGAAGGAAAGTTAAAATTAAGTGCAGAAAATTTTTCCTTGGGACAAAGTTGAAGAGAATACTGAATACAGCAACAGCAATTTAATTTGAAACAACTGATAGCAGCTCTGTGCTGTGATTTCAAAGAACATAACATGCCATCCAGCGGGCATTTAAAAAACTAGTACCAGGAAATGAAAACCACTTTCAGAAAATGAAAGCACGAGAGTAGGGTGCCCAACATGTCCACGTCCATCTTCACATTTACAACTATCCTGTCAGTTGTCCAAAGCAGCTCAAATGTAAAGTCTGTGCTATAAAATTGTGCAAATATGTTAAGAGTTGGAGAACACCAATGCACTACTATAATACGTTGTTTCCTAAATTACCTCCACTTACATGCTTGAGAAACTAAGATTAATCAAAGTCAGATACAAATCCCACCAAGAAAAATGTTCAGTTCTTAGGCTTTTAGGTTTGATTTAAAAACAAAATAGGAACGAGTTTCAAAATAAGTCACAGATCTCTTTATATATAACCTAGCGAAACCTTCAATAAATTCCAGGTATTAGCATACGTCGCTAATGGTTTTAAATGTCTGAATTATATGCACTACTCTTTCATTGGTCTGAATGAATAGAAACATGGTAACACAAATGCCAATTAATTTTTATAACATATAATCCTCTCAGATTGAAGTGGAGGGGCCAGAAATTTAACACCCAGCATTCTTTAAAGAAAATGACAGCTAAAATCATTCTGATACAGATTCAATTATTCAAACTCCCCCACAAATTACTGGAAAAATATAAGAGGTAACTTCACAAAAATCACAAATTATGTGGAATAATTATAACTGATATATAAATAAGGATTTACTAAAAAAGGCTTCAAGGAGTGATATTTTAAATCAAAGTTTTAAATACAAAAGATGTCTTGTGTTGCTTAATCATCCAGAGTTTTGGATGCTCTTCATTCTACAGTTACAGATTTGGCAAGATTTCGTGGGAAATCAACCTGTTAAAAAAAAAAAAAAAAAGGAAAAAGTGAAGGGATTCCCCAGGCTGGGGGGGGGGGAAGGGGGATATAAGTAAATTATTTTTATTTATAACAACAGAAAAGAGGGCCAGCCAGTGGCCTAGTGGTAAGGTGGCTGGGTCCCACATGGCCAACTATGCGGTTTGAGTCCCAGACCTGGCAGTTTTGAAAGCAACTAGGCACATGTGCATACATGCCCCACATCTTGAGAGTAGACTAGAGGAGAAGGGACAGCAGTGCAGCCATCTCCCTGGGGGTACTTTCTCACTTTCTTTCCTTCTCTCTGGCAAATGCATGTGCCCTACAACAAACTAAAAACAAACAAAAAAAACAGAAAATGGTTTAGCCTCATAGCCAAATGGTTAAGGAAGCCAAATCCCACATGGTCAATGTAGTTCTAATCTGAGTCCCAGAGGCTTGAAAAAGAAATCAGGCATGTGTGTGCGCGTGGCCAATGCGCCAACATGATGAAGAAATGGAGAAGGGACTGTGGTGTGATCACATCCCATTACTGGGTATTTTCTCACTTTCTCTGTCACTGGGAGCACATATACCCTCTGGCAATTTAAAAAAAAAAAAAGGAAACAATATGTTTATTACCCATCTTTATTATAGACTATAAAGAATTAGATTAGAAAATATAATGTACCCTGAGAAAAACTGAAATCAGTTTGGAAAAAGAATTCTACACCTGATATTAGTCAAAAGGCCGAGAAGCAACTAGAAAAAGATCCTCTATATAGGTGGTAGCCCTCGTAGTGGATACTAGAAATGAAAGACCTAGATGTGTGGCTGTCACCAGGACTGGGGGTCCAGATGCTGAGAGTCCTGAGATGTGTGGAATAGTTCCAAACAATGAATGGTCTTGTCCAAAACAACACTACCTACCTTATTTAAAAAAAAAAAAAAAACAAACCACAGGATTACACTAAAAAAATAGGCAGATTCTCCAAGGAGAATTACCATCTTGGAGGTAACCTCCCAAGTTCCTTTAGGTTCTATAGGAAAGAAGATGTTGTGATGTAACCTATAAATTGGGCCATGAAAATATAACCAGTGACAGATATATAAAAGAGGACTTCAAAAAATTCATAGGAAAATAGAATTTAAAATACAAATTTATTTTGGTGGGAAAAAAACTTTTGAAGGGCATGTACAATGGAGTGTTCCTTTAATGCCAGTGACTTGGGAGGCTGAGGCAGGAGGACCCTGACACAGTGAGATCCTGTCTTTTAAAAATAAAGTATTTTTGAAATCCCTGCATAGTTCTTTTATAAAGCATATTTTCCACCATCTATATGAAGACCCCCTCAAATGTAACAGATGCTACTGTTAAAAACTGAGGGACGGGGCCAGGAGGTGGCATGATTAAGGCGCTGGATTCCCACATGGCCAACCACGGTTAGAGTCCTGGACCTGATGGCTTGAATATCATGTAGGGGGCGTGTGCGTGCATGCCCAAGCCCCCTCCCCGCCCCGTGGGGTGATTTCTCATTTTCCCTCTCACTGTCTCTCTCCAGCTAATGCATGGACCCTATGGCAAAAACCTTTAAAAGACTTACATCATAGCCTCTCAGTACAGCCAGGTGGAAAGCCAGCAGCTGTAGGGGGATCACGCTCAGAATGCCCTGCAAGCAGTCCACTGAGTGGGGCACCTTGATCGTTCTTTTTGTGTTCTTAATGGTCTCTGTGTCCTCCTTGTCACAAATCACCACAGGGCGTCCCTGAGAAAGACAATCACATACACATGACCCTTCATAAGTAAAAGCAGAGTTATACAAGCAAACGTGCAAACTTCGCAGTGCATAATCCACATGTGGCCTCACTGAGACACTTACTTCAACTTGCAATCCCATGTGGTGAATCTGACTGTGAATCCAGGTCTTCCTATCTTTGAAGCTCATGTTCATTACCACTATGTTGTAGGGGCTAACAGATTCAGAGCTTATGTATAAAGCTAACTGACATGAAAAAAGCTCAGTTGGCCAGCCCATAGTGCAGTGGGAGCCAGATCCCAAAAGGGTGACCATGGTTTGAGTACTGGCCCCAGCAGCTTGGAAAACTTGCCCAAAATCCTGATAAGAAGGAGATATGGAGGAAAAAGGACTACAGCATCACCATACCCTACTTGGGGATTCTCTCTCCCTCTCTCTGACAAGCTCACATCTCTCTGGCAATTAAAAAAATTAGACTTGGGACCAGTAGTTGGCATAATGGCTATGTCACTGGACTCCCATGTAGTTAATCGCGGTTCAAGTCCTGGACCCGGTGGCTTAAACTCACACTGGGTGTGTGTGCGTGTGTGTCCAAGATCCCAAGAGAATAGAGCAGGGATTGCAGCATGGCTATTCTCCCTGGGGGGGGGTGATTTCTCGCTTTCTGTCTCTCTGTCTCTCTCTGCCTTTCTGGCAAGCACACGTGCTCCACAGCAAAAGCCTCTCCAAAAAAATTAAACATTAAAAAATTAAATTAAATTTAAAAAATTAGACTTGCAAAAATCAAAAAGAATAAGAACATTACGAAAACAAAGAAAAGAAAATTCAAGCATAGCCCTTATGGTATTAATATAAAATCTAAAGGTTAGGTTTCTTCTGAAATGTATAATTATGAGTATTAAACTAAAAGGGAGTAGCATATTTTATTCAGAGAGGACAGGATATAGAGACCAAAACCTTAGAATGTCAGAGTTCTGCTTATCATGAGGTCTAACTGATCAAAACTCTTGAGTATCTGACTCTTCACAGGTAAACTTCCAAAGCTATTCCAAAGCAAGTAAGTCAATGAATGTAAACATATTTTTAAGTCACTTACTTGGCACTGGTCTACCATTCTAAATGTAGAAACCTCAAACAAGTTTTTATAATCCAAATCTTAGATCCCCAAGGTGTTCTCAAGACTGCTCTTACTTACCTGCCGAGCAACCACCTGCTGGAAGGCATTCTGACACTTGGCGTAAGTGTGGTCTCTCATGATGATCATGATGACAGGCATCAGCTTATCCACCAAAGCCAGAGGGCCGTGCTTCAACTCACCAGCGAGGATGCCTTCAGAGTGCATGTAAGTAATCTCTTTGATTTTCTAACAGGAAATAACAAGATTAGTCTTCAATCCATTTTTAAAAAATCCATCCTTAAGTAAATATACAAAGTATCTGGTATGTTAAGTCACTGTTTATGCAAAAGTATAAATGGACCACTGATTTTTAATTCACAAGTTATTTCTGTAATATCAATAAGAAATGTGAAGTCTGAAAATTCCACAAGGACTGTCTGAAGATTTGAGATTATTATGAACATAGTCATATTTATTTATAACTGCTCTACTTGTTTCATGTTTAATCTCAACTAAACTTCTTATCTAGACAATTTAATCTCTACTTGATCCATATTTGTACAACATATTAACCCATTACTTGCTAAACCCAAGTTATCATGCTAAAACATCATCTCAGTTTTCACTTTTGAATTAAGTTCTCTATTGCACTTTCTCCAGGTAAACAAACCATAATGTGTTATGTATAGAGGCACTTTCAAAAGTTCCAACTATTTCATTCCATCTAAAAATATGACTATGGGCCAGGTCTGTAAATCAACAGACTGAAATTAATGATAAAGTGAAAAAACTTACCAGAGCTCCTTCAAGACAAGTAGCGTAATGGTAGCCCCGCCCCATTATCAGGACCGACTTCTGATGATAAAGTTCTGTTGCCAGTTTCTGGATTTCATCATCCATGCTCAGTACTTCCTTAATCAAATCTGTTAAGAAGTAATATTACCAAAAATCTATGAAAAAAGGAGAATGAACTGAACAGATAAAACAATAATATTAATAGATTGGTAGCAACCAACAAAAGACCAGTGATTGTATTCTTCCGTGGTGCCATTGTGGGATTTTTTTAATACACAGGAGCAAAAGCATAAAGATTTTATCGACAGCCTGGCTCCATGGCCAAACGTGGTCCAAATCTCAGCCCCACTGGCACAAAAACCATGCCCCAAATCCTGATGGGATGAAGAAAGATGACAGAAAGTGGATTGTGGCATGACCATGGGGGGATTTCTCCCTCTCTCTCTCTCTCTCTGTCTCTCTCCAGCAAGCGTATATACCCTCTGACAATAAAAACTAGTAATAATTAACTTAATTTAAAGAATGATAGGGAAAAAAGAAATATTACTAAATATCTCTAAGCCACAGCTTCCACATAAGGAGAATTTCATTCATTAAACCACTCTCTTAGACGACAAAAGCAAATGTGAGTATCTTCATACCTGGCAGCCGTTTCAATCCAAGCATAATCTCTTTGCGTCGTTCTTGCATGGAGATCCTGTCATCACACATCATAAGAGCAAACATCACAAGGGACACAAATTGGCTGGTGTAAGCCTGAAATGCCACGAAAAAAGCAATTAGCTGCAGCGGCATTTTTTTTTCTTTTTAAAGAGAGATTTTTGCTATAGGAGATATGTACTTGCCAGAGAGACAGAAAGCGAGAAATCACCCCCCAGGGAGGATGGCCACGCCACAATCCCTTCTCCTCTGCTCTCCTCTTAGGATTTTGGCCACATGCACAAGTGCGCAGCCTGAGTTTTAAGCTGCCAAGTCTGGGAGTCAAACCATGGTCAACTACGAGGAGTCCAGCAATTTAATTATTATGCCATTTGCTGGTCCCAGTTACAGTGGCTTCTTAAGTCCCTGAAACTTGGGGCCATCAGGTGACATGATGGTTAAGGTGCTAGACTCCCACATGGCCGACTGCAGTTCTGATCCCGGTCCTGGTGGCATGTGTATGCATGCCCAAAGTCCTAGGAGGAGAGTGGAGAAGGGATTGTGGCACAGCCATTGCTCCTGGAGGGTAAGAGGTGATTACTCACTCTCCCTCTCACTTTCTCTCCAGAGAGTTGCACGCGCCCTATGGCAAAAACCTAAAAAACGAACAACAATGAACTGGAACTTTTAATCTACAAAATGATGAAAATAAAATTCCCATTGGTTTTATACTTTAAAAATTTTTTTGGTAGAGGTTTTTACCTTAGGGCACATGCACTTGCTGGAGAGAGAGAGAAAGAGAGGCAGAGACAGTAAGAGGTGAGAATCTACCCCCCAGGGGAGGGATGGCCATGCTGTAATCCCTTCTCTGGGGATCTTGGGCATGCACACACATGTACCTGGCTTGAGTTTTAAGCCACTAGGTATAGAACATGAACTGCAGTCGGCCATGTGAGAGTCCAGCAACATGACTGCTATGCCATCTGCTGGCCCACAGTTTCATACTATTTTTAAAAACATTAGAAACAGTAAACAGAATAACTACTTGAAAATCTATCCCTATTCTCCTTTTCTGAGTCTTTTTTATTTTTTAAGTTTATTTATTTCTACAGAGATAGCACTCCTACCGAGTCCCAATGCCATAATTTACCCCCAGCCTTCAGCCAGCCCTGGATCATGGGCAAGCGTGTACTCAGAGAGGTCTGAACGGGCAGTGTTTCCATGCAGGACTGCCTCAGAGAATGTCATGTTTTACCACTGCACCCTGCCTGGCCTCACAAGATGTTAACTTCTGGTTTTGTTTTTATAAATAGCCCCTATCCTTTCTCCGTGGGTTTGTGCCATTTACCGTAGGCTGTTCTTTGATATACTAGAGTTACGTTTCAGTACCACTGATTCCATTTCACAGATCTATCATTTCTATAAAAGAAAGTCTTCGTGCATATGCATGCATGTCCAAAATCCTGAGAGGAGAACAAAAGCAAAGGAACTGTGGCATGGCCATTCCCCTCCCTGGAGAGGGGTGATTTCCTACTTTACCTCTCTCTGTCTCTCTCCAGCAAGTGCATGCATCCTATGGCAAAGACCATTTAAAAAAAAAAAAATGAATAAATAAAAAAAAAAAAGTCTTCCCATCAAGAAATAAAGTATTTTCATCCATTTGTGCTAAGAATTCTAAAGTCTATAAAATTATACAGTTTATTCAATTTTTTAAATTTTTAATGGGAGACGGAGGGAGAGAGGGAGGAAACTAGGGGGAAAGAGAGAAAGAAAGGTATTTTTGACAAGGTCATGCCACATCACAATTGTTCTGCCTCACCCTCCCAGTGAGCAAGAACCACAGGTATACAGCCTAAGTCTGTTTGGGCTGGGTAGAGAACCACACCAGCCTCTCATGCAGCCTAGCCAGCACATAGTGAATGACATTCTCCTATCTGCATCATCACTGTTGGATCTACTCAACAAATATTTACGGAAAATTTTACACATTTCTTGGTAAAGTAGTTTTTACTTGTTTTATACATGTATCGAAAATAGAATCCCTCCCAACACATACCCCCATATCTTTTCTAAGCAGTGTTTGCAGTTCATAGAAAAGATTTTTCTGTGGGACCAGCAGATGGCATAATGGTTATGTCACTGGACTTCACATAGTCGACCATGGTTCGAGTCCCAGCCCCGGGGATTTAAACATCATGCCAGGTGTGTGTGTATGTGTGCCCAAGATCCCAAGAGGAGAATGGAGGAGAAGGGATTGTGGCATGGCCATCCTCCTGGGGGATGATTTCTCACTTTCTGTCTCTGTCTCTCTGGGAATCGCATGCACCCTATAGCAAAAAAATCTCTTAAAAAAAGATTTTTCTGTATATATGTAACATAAAGCACTTTGTGGATCCTCATTCAAAGAATTTTTTTTAACTGGATATTGTTAATCTCTACAGGTAGTGAATCATCACTGCAAAAAAGAAGACTTTCATTTCATCCCTTTTCCATTGTTTTCTTTCTTTTTTCCATTATTAGATAGAGCCTTTACAAATAGGTTTCATATAGAATCAACGCTAAACCCTTGGTAGTTACAGTGAAAAATCATGTTGAAAAGGATTCTAAGGCCAACTTTAGTTATAAATTTACATTTTATATTTTTAGTTATACATTTAAATTTAAATTTAAATTTTAGCTGTACAATAATACAGTTAAAATTCCAGGAGAATTTCAGAAGAACAACTGGGAGGTCTATTCTGAAAATTCTAAAGCTTTCTCTTTTGAAGTTCATTCATTCTTCTCTATCACTTGCCACTTTCTGTTTCACTGAGTTTTCTTTTTCTGACTTTTAAATATTTAGCTCATTTTCTCCTTGAAAGTAAAGCATTTAATGCCATAAATTTACCTATAATTATCACTTTGTACTCTCTAAATTTTTACCTCTATTGTTCATTGTCTTTATTTTTTCTAATAAGTCTTTCATAAGGGCAGCCCTTTATCTTTTTAAACCCAATAGCTATATAAAGGAACACTTTAATTTGTTAGGGATTTGAGAGTTTTATTTACATAGCTATTAATAAATCATTAGAATTATTGTGTTCTGGGGGCCGGCAGGTGGCATGGTGGTTAAAGGTGCTGAATTCCCACAGGGCCATGGTTTGCATCAGGGACCTGGTGGCTTGCTCTCACTTTCCTGTTCTCTCTCTCCGTCTCTGTCTGGTCAAATTTAAAAAAAAAAAAAAAAAAAGGAATAAATAAATATTTTTTTAAAAAAAGAATTATTGTGTTTTGGTCATTTACCATACTATAAATCATTTTAATTTCAGAAATTTTTTTTTCTATTTTTTATGACTTATATGAATTTCTACTACTCTTTTCTAGATAAGGAATGGTTCATACTCTCCTATCACAATGTGGATAATGAGACTCCCTGTTTCCTCTTGCAGGGTTTGCCAACTTCTAATTGTTCATCCACAGCTACCTGTCCCTGTACTACCATTAATTCCACCAGCAGATTGGAATTTTTTCCAATAGAACTAAAGTGGATTCAGTATCACTTGCCTCCAGCTCTAATATGCACATCTATTTTCTAAATTCCAGTCTACCTCTTCCAACTATAGTTTACTTTTCAATAAGCCAATTAATCACAAAATATACTTATGAGGGATGAGAGAGACCCATATATTGGACTCCTAAAATACCTAAACTGTGTCTAATCCAAATTGACCAGATAATGAGTACTTTATATTAGTTCCTTCAGCCTATAACTAAAAACTATTTTGGGGGGTCAGCAGGTGGTATGGTAGTTAAGGCACTGGACTCACACATGGCCGATTGCAGTTCTCAAGTCCCAAACCTGACTGCTTGCTTTCTCACTTTCCCTCTCTCTCTGGTGAGCACATGTACCCTACAGCAAATTAAAAAAAAATAACAATAAATTAAATTAGTAACTCTTTAAAAAATGTTTTCCTACAAGCTAGTGTTTCTTTGGACTGAAAATACCTCAACGTTGTTTCTTAAATATAAATATTAAATAAACTTTAATGCACACAATTTTCCATTGCATTGCTATTCCAGCTTATTTCAAATTTCATATTTTTCACTTCATCAATACAAACCAGGAAACCAATTATGAGAAAAATAAGTTATACCCCACATTTAGAATATACTGAGGTTTTTAAGAATTTACCAGGAAAATGTTGACTCTGAACTTTTAAACTTGGTTTTCTTTTTATTCAGCCAAAAACAAAGTTATATTGGTTTATTTTCAAAGTTGACCAAAGTCAGCACTGTGGTGAAATTCTAAACACCTGTAATAACATATAAAAACTGCCAAACCTGCACATTTATACCCATCAATTCCTACAGAAACATCAAATTGTCTGATATTATGAGATAGTAATAGCCCTCTAATCCTGTTTTTCAGGCAAAGCTGGAAATTCATAGGGAAGATTACAGAATTCTGCTAGCTTCTTCACTAGGTCCAGGAATGAGCATCAATGATTAGCTTCTTTGATTACTCATTAACATATAAACTTTTATTTAGCTTGCAGAAATGGCCCAAAATTCTAAAGATCCCAAAATTATTTTTTTTAACTTTTGCCACAGGATGCATATGCTTGCTAAAGAGAGACAGAGAGAGAGAGAAAGTGAGAAATCATCTCCTGGAGAGATTACATGCCAAAACTGCTTCTCCTCCATTCTCCTCTTGGGCCTTCTGGGCATATATGCACACATGCCTGGCATTTTTCAAGTCACCAGGTATGGGACTTGAATCATGCAGTTGGCCATGTGGGATCCAACTACCTTAACCTCCACATCTCCTGCTAGCCCCTCAAAATTCATTTTAAATAACTCTAAGTTAAGAATATCTGTGATAAAACTACTTTACAATCTTTAAAAACATGAAAATGGGACCAGCAGATGGCACAGTTGTTAAGGTGCTGAACTTCCATATAGTTGACCATGATTTGAGTCCTGGACTTGGTGGCTTGAAACTCACACCAGAAGTGTGTGTGTGAATGCCCAAAATCCTGAGAGGAGAACAGAGGAGAAGGGATCGCTTTCTGTGTATGTCTTTTTCTCTCTCTGTCTGGCAAGTGCACGTGCCCTATAGCAAAAAAACCTCTCAAAAACAAAAAAATGAAAGTAACACTAAATTGCCTCACTAAAGTTTTGTTTTTGTTTTTTTTGTTATTTTAGAGGTTTTTGCTATAGGGCACGTGCACTTGCCAGACAGAGAGAGAAAAAGACATACACAGAAAGCGAGAAATCACCCCCTAGGGGGTGATGGTCACGCCGCAATCCTTTCTCCTCCATTCTCCTCTCGGGATCTTGGGCATGCACGCACACGTGCCCGGCGTGAGTTCAAGCCACCAGGTCCAGGATGCACACTGCAGTCGACACGTAGGAGTCCAACAACATAGCCATTACGCCAACTGCTGGTCCCCCTCACTAAAGTTTTTAGAGTCATTTTATAAAATAATTTCAAGTATGGACTACAAAAAGATACTTATTTTCTTATACAAGATATAACCATTAAGGGAAATTGGGTGAAGTTGTGCTAGGGACTTTTATGTGTAGTGTTTTCAACTTCCTATAAATCTTCCTATAAACCCTTTCAATTTTTTTTTTTTCAGTGCTGTTTGCACTCACTAGAGAAAGAGAAAAAGATAATGACAGGGAAAGTGAGAAATCACCCCCTAGGGGGATGGCCATACTACAATCCTTTCTCTATTCTCCTAGGATTTGGGGCATGCACACATGTGCTCCGTTTGAGTTTCAAGCCACCTGATCTGGGACTTGAACTGTGGACAACCATGTGCGAGTCCAGCACCTTAACTGCTACACCACTTACTGGTCCCAAAAGATAATTTTTTAAAAAACATCTCAGGGGGCCAGTTGATGGCGTAATGCTTATGTCGCTGGACTCCTACATGGCCTACCATGGTTCAATCCTAGACCCAATGGCTTTAAACTCATACCAGGCATATGCACACGCACCCAAGATCACAGGAGGAGAAGGGGTGAGGAGGGTTTGCAGCACGGCCACCCCCCCTTCATGGTTTCTCACTTTCTTTCTCTCTTTCTCTCTCTGACAAGTACACACACCTTAAGGAAAAAAACCTCTATTTAAAAAAAAATTGCAGAAAGAATTACTGATACAAATAATAACACATACAAAGCTCAAAAAATTCCTACTTAATAATTCAGACACTTCAAACATGTACTGTACAACTGCATTTATAAGAAATTTCTGGAGAATGATGTAAAATAGTGAAAGAAAACAGTAGTCACTGCGTGTGAAGCTTGAAGGTGGGAGTGAGGATTGACTAAGAGGACACAAAGGAACTTCTTCAGGTGTTTAAAGTCTTCTAAAATTGGATTATGGTGACAGCTGTACAGCCGAATAAATGTACTAAAACTGTACACTTAAAATCTGTGAATGCAATATGCAAATGATACCTCAATAAAACTGCAGAAAAAGGTTAATGATAGAATCTAAGTGGCCATGCGTTAATATAAAGTTCTTTTAACTCTGAAAATCGCCACTTATAATAAAATGTTGAGGAATATTGAAGTTGTCAGAGCTAGAAAAAACAAACAGTATTTCTCTTGGCAGCACACAGTTGAACAAAGGTTCTATAAAAAAGTAAATAGGAGGGAACCAGCAGTTAGCGTAATGGCTATGTCGCTGGACTCCCACGTAGTCGACTGTGGTTCACGTCCCGGACCCGGTGGCTTAAAACTCACACCGGGCACGTGTGCGTGCATGCCCAAGATCCCGAGGGGAGAATGGAGGAGAAGGGATTGCGGCGTGACCATCCCCCCTTGGGGGTGATTTCTCGCTTTCCGTCTCTATGTCTCTCTCTGTCTGGCGAGCGCACGCGCCCTATAGCGAAAAACCTCTCCAAAAAAAAAAAGTAAATAGGAGGACAAGTGGCATGGTGGTTGAGGCACTGGACTCTCACTTGGCCAACCACAGTTCCAGACCTGGCAGCTAACTTTCTCACTCTCTCTCTGTTTCTTTCTGATCAAATTGGAAAAATAAGTATAATATGTAAAATTAAATAAATAATTCTTTAAAAAGAAAAAAGGCAAGTGAATAGCATCCCTTTAGCTGAATAACCCCATGTCCCACATCTACCACCTTTAAGTCCTAGTTTCACAATGTGTTAAGGACTGTGAGATTTCAGCCCCCATCAAAGCTGCCTGAACACAGCTCCAAAAGTCCATAAGCTGCTCCTGAGGGTAGCTGGTTATTTATTCAGCCACAGGATAGAAACCAGAGCATAGACATCTTACATGTTTTAATTACTATATGCAAAAAATTCAGGTTTTAGTTATCAGTAAATTACAGTGTTAGCAATATCAAAATACCCAAGAAATAAAAACCTCACTCAGAGTTTTTACATGAAAATCACAAGTTTTACACAAAAAAAATTCTCCATGAGATTCTTTAAAGTCAAATGAAAAAAGTCAAACGTGGTTATATACCCATTAACATTTTCTTCTACAAGCCTTTAATTAAATTCAAATCCACCAATACCCAAGCATCTTACTAGACAACCAGCAAGAAATATCAAATGTAAGTAGAAAAATAGACAATAAAAAACTCAAAATTTTAAATCACAAAGATCTGGGGAGAAATGATATCTTTTGTATTTATAAAACTTTGTAAGGTTCTTATTTTTATTCCTATTCTTTTTTTTTTGGAAAGGTTTTTGCTATAGGGCATGTGTGTTCTCCAGAAAGAGAGAGAGACAGAAAGACAGAAAGCAAGAAATCATCCCCAGAGGGGATGGCCACACTGCAATCCCTTCTCCTCCATTCTCCTCTCGGTATCTTGGGCATGCATGCACACGTGCCTCGCGTGAGTTTAAGCCACCAGGTCTGGGACTTGAACTGTGGTCGACTACATGGGAGTCCAGCAACATAGCCATTACGCCAACTACTGGCCCCAATTCCTATTCTTAATTTTATTAATAAAGTAATTTCAAAGAGCAAAGTAGTCTCACTAGGCTTTTTATTTATTTATTTATTTTAAGGATTTTGCCATTGGTCACATGCGCTCTCCATAAAGAGACAAAGAGAGAAAGCAAGAAATCACCTCCTAGGGGTATGGCCAAACCATAATCCCTTCTCCTCCATTCTCCTCTCAGGAGTTTGGGCACACATGTCTGGTGTGATTTTCAAGATTCTGAGTCTAGGGCTCAAACTGTGGTCAGTCATGTGGGAGTCCAGTGCCTTAGCCACTATGCCACCTCCGGGCACTCCTAACTAGATTTAAAAACAAACAAACAAACAAAAAAACATGAAAGGGGGAACAGTAGACAGCGTAACGGTTACGTCACTGGACTCCCACATGCACAACCATCGTTCAAGCCATTGGCTTGAAAGTCAAGCCGGGATTGTGTGCGTGCGTGCCCAAAATCTCGAGAGGAGAATAGAGGAGAAGGGACTGCATTATGGTCATCTTCTCAGGTGGTGATTTCTCGCTTTTGTCTGTCTGTCTCTCTGATGAGCGCACGTGCCCTACAGCCAAAATCTCTCTAACAATACAAAAAAAGGAAGTAAGTCACTTTAGATCTTCAGATGTAGTATTTTAAGAGAAACAGATATTATTATATAACACTCATGGATTTTTATTTAAAAATATTTTTCATTGCCAAACTGTATTTATTGATTTTCATTTTTGCCAGAGGACATATGCATTCACCAGAAATAGAAAAGTAAGGAAGAAAGCACATTCTTCCCACGAAGAATGGTCATGTCATGATCCCTCCCTTTTGTTCCATTTCTCCCTCCTTTTGAGATTTTGGGCATGCGTACATATGCACCTGGCAGGTTTTGCAAGCTGCCAGTCCAAGTCTCAAACCACATGGTCAGCCAGGACAGTCCAGCTACCTTAACCACCAGGCCATGGGCTGACCCTAATTGCCAAATTTTATACCAAAGGTATATTCCTCCTTATAAGCTTTGAAAGGCAGAATGGGGCCAAGTGGTGGCATAGTGATAATGTGACTGGACTACATGGAAAAGGTACTAGGTTCACATCCTCCAATCACCCTCAGGACATATGTGCCCAAAATCCAGGCTGGCTGACCCTGGATGTGGACTGTGGCATGAAGGCCTTATTAGCGGTATCTATTTCATGCAAAAAAATTATTAAGGAAAAAAAATGGTAGTATGTACATTTGGCACATTTATTAGAAATTAAAAATATGTTTCTAATTTGTTACTTTTCTAATTCACTAGTATACTTACTGAAGAATAAGGCACACTTCCTATGAGCCCAGTGACACTGTCAGGAGGATTATAAGTGATAAATGGGGATAGCTGGCAAAGAACTTTCCAAAGTGGACTTGTGTTATATACATTTGAAATGTGTGGGTTCTGTAACTGCTAATGAACAACACGTACGATGCAGACTAGTGTTTCACCAACACAATGGTCACATAATCACCTAGGAACAGTCAGGACTTTACCTTCGTACTGGCCACCCCAATCTCAGGACCAGCATTAATGTGAACTCCGCAATCTGTCTCCCGTGATATAGAACTGCCGACTGTATTTGTGATCCCCACAGTTAAAGCTCCTCTCTCCTTACAGTAGCGAAGACCCATCAGAGTATCTGCTGTTTCACCTGTTTAGAAAGAGAAGAGTAACACAAAACAGTTTCAACATATGCTATCTCTTAGATGCAAAAACAAGTTGACCACACTTTCAACAAGATCACTTGTTTTTAAAAATACATTAAAAAAAAGTACTTAAGAAAATGAATTATGGGGCTGGCAGGTGGCATGGTGGTTAAGGCATTGGACCCCACATGGCCGACCTCGGTTCAAGTCTAGACCTGGCAGCTTGCTTTCTCACTTTCCATCTCTCTTTCTCTTTCCTTCCCCGCCCCCTGCCCTCTCCTCTCTGTCTCTCTCTGGCCAAATTTAAAAATAATAATAAATAAAATTAAATAAATAAGTCTTAAAAAATTATAAAACTCTTAATAACAGAGCCAGAAGGTGGCATGACAGTAAAGGTGCTAGACCTCACATGGCCGACTGCATGGTTTGAGTCTCAGGCCCAGTGGCTTGAAGGACACGTCATGCATGTGTGTATGCATGCCCAAAATTCCAAGAAGAGAATGGAGTAGAGGGGAACGGGGGGGGGGGGCAATTTCTCTCTCTCTCTCTCTCTCTCTTTCTCTCTCTCTCTGTCTCCAGGAAGCACACATACCCCATAGCAAAAAGTTTTAAAAAAAAATAAAAACTCATTAGGCTGGGGAACAGCAGGTAGCATGGTAGTTAAGGTGCTGGACTCTCACATGGCCGACCATGGTTCAAGTCCCAGGACTGACAGCTTGATCACGCCAGGTGTGTGTGCATGCATGCTCAAAATCTCAAAAGGAGAATGGAGGAAAAGAGGCTGTGGTGTGGCCATCCCCCTTGGCGGGGGAGGGTGATTCCTCACTTTCCCTCCCTCTGTATCTAGGTGGCAAGCACATATGCTCTACAGTAAAATCCTAAAAAAATACATTACTAGGCTTTTAGGATATCTTTTTTCTCTCTCTGAAAATTCACCTCTATGAATGTAAAAGGTATTATTTTACTAATTCATAAAGATTTATTAATATTAAGACAGCTGGTGGTATGGTGGTTAAGGTGACTGGACCCCACATGGCCAACTGTGCAGTCTGTGTCCAGAACCGAGTAGCTTGAGAAATACACCGGCTGCATGTGCATGTGTGCCCAAAATCCCAAAAGGAGAATGAAGAAGGGACTGTGACATGGCCATCCCTCATGGGGAGTAATTTCTCACTTTCCTTCTCTGTTTGTCTCTTCTGCAAGTACATGTGCCCTCTAGCAAAGTTTAAACTAACAAAAAAAGGAATATAATGTTACAATAAATCTGTATTTGTTAAATCATCTCTACAACCAGTTTATCTTTAAATACCAGTTTTTGTTAACATATGATAGAATTATTTAAAAGAATGACTTTCTAGGCCAGCCAGTGCTATGGTGGTGAAGGTGACTGGATCCCACATGGCCAACTTTATGGATGAGTCCTAGACCAAGTAGCTTGAAAAACATGCCAGGCACATGTGTATGCGCCTAGAATCCCAAGACGAGAATGGAGGAAAAGGGATTGCAGAGTGGCCACCCCCAGCAAGATAATTCCTCTCTCTGTCTCTCTCTCTCCTCCCCACCCAACCCTTAGCAACTACATGCCTAATAGCAAACTTAGATAGATAGATAGATACATACATACATACAAATGACCTTCCTTGCCTTCGAGTCTTTAAAATCCACATACCTGACTGACTAATGAAAAAGCAAACATCATCTCGAAAAACTGGTGTGTTTCTATCCAGGAAGTCACTGGCTAGTTCCACCATCACAGGCAGCTCAGTCAGTTCCTCCAGAACTTGCCGTGTCTGTGGGAGAAACAGATAACTAGGTCACACAAAGTCTCTTCAAGTATTCTTTCTCACTCTTTTGCTAAATGCATGGTTTTCAGTTTTTATGATTATAAAAATGATATATAGATAATGGAAGATAATACAAACAATATAAATTAAAGAAAAAAATTAAAACCCCATCACCCAGGAGATAGACTCTATGAACATAGCAAATGTCTCTTCAGACAATTAGCAATGTATACATTCTTACAACCAAATAAAGTTAGGTGGCAAAAGCATTGTTTTGAGTCAGCTTGTATGTTATCAATAACTTGCTAATTTCTAATCTTTAAAATAAAAATTCATATAATACCTAAGTCACTGAAAAATTCTGAAAGACATAACATCTATAAATACCCAGTGAAAAATTAAACACTTTAAAAATGCAATAATTGGGAGCCAATAGAAAGCAATGCAGTTACGTCGCTGGGCTCTCATATGGCTGATCATGGTTCAAATCCCGAACCTGGTGGCTTGAAAATCATGCTAGATGTGTGTGTGCATGCTCGGAGGAAAACGGAGGAGAAAGGATTGCACTATGGCCATCCCTCGTAGGGAGTGATTTGTTACTTTCCCTCTGTCTCTTGTCTGTCTCTCCAGTGAGTGCATGTGCCCTAAGACAAAAACCTCTTAAAATTAAAAAAAAAATCAATTTCCAAAGTAACAATTTAAAGAACCGAGTCTAAAAAAAAAACAGACTTCCTTTCTTTGCAGAAATGTGCCCACAAAATGAAATCCTACTGAGGTTCACACATGTTACATCATGCATGTGTGTATGCATGCCCAAAATTCCAAGAAGAGAATGGAGTAGAGGGGAACGGGGGGGGGGGGCAATTTCTCTCTCTCTCTCTCTCTCTCTCTCTCTCTCTCTCTGTCTCCAGGAAGCACACATACCCCATAGCAAAAAGTTTTAAAAAAAAATAAAAACTCATTAGGCTGGGGAACAGCAGGTAGCATGGTAGTTAAGGTGCTGGACTCTCACATGGCCGACCATGGTTCAAGTCCCAGGACTGACAGCTTGATCACGCCAGGTGTGTGTGCATGCATGCTCAAAATCTCAAAAGGAGAATGGAGGAAAAGAGGCTGTGGTGTGGCCATCCCCCTTGGCGGGGGAGGGTGATTCCTCACTTTCCCTCCCTCTGTATCTAGGTGGCAAGCACATATGCTCTACAGTAAAATCCTAAAAAAATACATTACTAGGCTTTTAGGATATCTTTTTTCTCTCTCTGAAAATTCACCTCTATGAATGTAAAAGGTATTATTTTACTAATTCATAAAGATTTATTAATATTAAGACAGCTGGTGGTATGGTGGTTAAGGTGACTGGACCCCACATGGCCAACTGTGCAGTCTGTGTCCAGAACCGAGTAGCTTGAGAAATACACCGGCTGCATGTGCATGTGTGCCCAAAATCCCAAAAGGAGAATGAAGAAGGGACTGTGACATGGCCATCCCTCATGGGGAGTAATTTCTCACTTTCCTTCTCTGTTTGTCTCTTCTGCAAGTACATGTGCCCTCTAGCAAAGTTTAAACTAACAAAAAAAGGAATATAATGTTACAATAAATCTGTATTTGTTAAATCATCTCTACAACCAGTTTATCTTTAAATACCAGTTTTTGTTAACATATGATAGAATTATTTAAAAGAATGACTTTCTAGGCCAGCCAGTGCTATGGTGGTGAAGGTGACTGGATCCCACATGGCCAACTTTATGGATGAGTCCTAGACCAAGTAGCTTGAAAAACATGCCAGGCACATGTGTATGCGCCTAGAATCCCAAGACGAGAATGGAGGAAAAGGGATTGCAGAGTGGCCACCCCCAGCAAGATAATTCCTCTCTCTGTCTCTCTCTCTCCTCCCCACCCAACCCTTAGCAACTACATGCCTAATAGCAAACTTAGATAGATAGATAGATACATACATACATACAAATGACCTTCCTTGCCTTCGAGTCTTTAAAATCCACATACCTGACTGACTAATGAAAAAGCAAACATCATCTCGAAAAACTGGTGTGTTTCTATCCAGGAAGTCACTGGCTAGTTCCACCATCACAGGCAGCTCAGTCAGTTCCTCCAGAACTTGCCGTGTCTGTGGGAGAAACAGATAACTAGGTCACACAAAGTCTCTTCAAGTATTCTTTCTCACTCTTTTGCTAAATGCATGGTTTTCAGTTTTTATGATTATAAAAATGATATATAGATAATGGAAGATAATACAAACAATATAAATTAAAGAAAAAAATTAAAACCCCATCACCCAGGAGATAGACTCTATGAACATAGCAAATGTCTCTTCAGACAATTAGCAATGTATACATTCTTACAACCAAATAAAGTTAGGTGGCAAAAGCATTGTTTTGAGTCAGCTTGTATGTTATCAATAACTTGCTAATTTCTAATCTTTAAAATAAAAATTCATATAATACCTAAGTCACTGAAAAATTCTGAAAGACATAACATCTATAAATACCCAGTGAAAAATTAAACACTTTAAAAATGCAATAATTGGGAGCCAATAGAAAGCAATGCAGTTACGTCGCTGGGCTCTCATATGGCTGATCATGGTTCAAATCCCGAACCTGGTGGCTTGAAAATCATGCTAGATGTGTGTGTGCATGCTCGGAGGAAAACGGAGGAGAAAGGATTGCACTATGGCCATCCCTCGTAGGGAGTGATTTGTTACTTTCCCTCTGTCTCTTGTCTGTCTCTCCAGTGAGTGCATGTGCCCTAAGACAAAAACCTCTTAAAATTAAAAAAAAAATCAATTTCCAAAGTAACAATTTAAAGAACCGAGTCTAAAAAAAAAACAGACTTCCTTTCTTTGCAGAAATGTGCCCACAAAATGAAATCCTACTGAGGTTCACACATGTTACACTGGCCATCTGTCTAGAGCAAAGAAATAACGTTAGCAAAACCCAAATGACAGCGCTCACACAGGTGGGCCTGCCCCCTAGAGTACAAGTGGGAAAACTCTCCCCTTGGCCTTACATGAAGTCAGCAGCAAGTAGTCTATCGGCGTATCTAAGGAACTTTCTAGAGCAGATCTTCCAGTGACAAATAATTCCAAGCAGTTATCAAAATCTCTCTCCCACCTTATTTTTGTCATCACAAATATGAAAAGATGACTTATCCTAACAAAAGATGGTTTTTCATGGTAAAGCACAACAGGTTCTACTGGTCTACAGAAACCCCCTAATAACCAAGAGAATACAAGAGAAATTGTAAAGAGCCACTTACTGCTACACCGGCATGATAACTTGTTCCACAAGCAATAAGAATCAAACGCCGACATCTCTGGATCTCCTTAATGTGATCCTTCAAGCCACCTAGATTCACTGAAATAAAGTTCATGTATACGATCATTTAGAAAAGAATCATATGAAATAAGCAATCACTTTTCTCATGTGCTTACTGTCAGTCTGGGAAACATTGCATGCTTCTCTTAGCACAGTTCTCTACAGTTTTAAAGATAAATCAGTCATGACTTAACTGACTCCCCAAAACCTGTAACTAAACTTATTCCCCTACATGTCCACACAACTATGGTATTTATTACATGCTATCTTCTCTAGCCATTTGTACATTCCTCTCTTTAGATTAATAGTTATCTTAAAGGCAAAACTATAAGGACACAGACAGTAGATGCTGATACCGGAGTCAGGGAACAGGTGAAAATTAAGGAGCACGGGAACATTTCTGGAGTGATGGAACTGTTCTACCTCTTGGTTTTGTAGAGGTTAAAGATTGTATGACTTTGTTGTGAAGGTCTGTCAAAACACCGAATTATGGGAACCAGCAGTTAGCATAATGGCTATGTCGCTGGACTCCCATGTAGTCGACCGCGGTTCGCGTCCCGGACCCGGTGGCTTAAAACTCACGCCGGGCGTGTGTGCATGCGTGCCCAAGATCCTGAGAGGAGAATGAAAGAGAAGGGATTGCGGCGTGACCATCCCCTCTGGGGGGTCATTTCTCGCTTTCTGTCTCTATGTCTCTCTCTGTCAGTCTGGCGAGCGCACACGCCCTATAGAGAAAACCTCTCCAAAAAACAAAAAAAAACCCACCAAATTATATGCTAGGAATGATAAATTTTATTATATCTAATTACATCTTTAAAAATCTGCCTGGTAGGACCAGCAAATGGCCTAGTGGTTACATCACTGGGCTCCCACATAGTTGACCGCAGCTCAAGTTTCAGATCCAGTGGCTTAAAACTCACACCGGGAGGGGCCAGCAGGTGGTGTGGTGGTTAAGGTGCTGGACTCGCACTTGATTGACCATGGTTCGAGTCCTGGACCTGGCAGCTTTCTTCCTCACTTTCCCTCTCTCTCTCTTTCTGTCTCCCTCTCTGGTGAGTGTGTGTCCTGCAGCAAATTAAAATAATAATAACAATGATAAATAGAATGAAATAAATAAGTCTAAAAATTTTAATACTCATGCCAGGTGCACATGCGTGCATGCCCAAAAACCCAACAGGAGAATGGAGAAGACTGCAGTGTGGCCATCTCCCCAGGGGCGTGATTTCTCACTTTCTGTCTCTCTGTCTCTGTCTTTCCAGTAAGCACACATGCCTTATAGCAAAAATCTCTCTCTTAAAAAAAAGGAGAGAGAGAAATGATCTTCGTTATGTTCATTTTCCTTTCAGTGCCCAAACAGTGCTCTGTACATACATAAAACCTACTCTCCTTTCAGCCTTTGCCAGTTCTTGGCAAGAATCCAGTCCTTGACTTGTTTACAACAATGCCACAGCATGCTGGACAACAGTGTAGACTCATCTAGTTTTTCGTGGTAACATTTTTAGGGCATTCCATTTGAACAGTACTTGTTTCTTTGATGACTGCAGTATCACCTTTCTTGTAAAGTCACATGAATTTTGCCAAAGGAACAACTAATGTTTTCTAAAAAGCTCAAGAATACATTAGATATCTCACCTCCTTCCCTTTGTATTTATCATTTTAGCAAATTACTGAATTACAGATAGTAGTTCCAGTGAAAGACCATTTTAATTATTTACTTGTTCATTCCCCCCCATACACACCAAATTCCTGGCACTAGGATTTGCACTGTAGTCAGCCATGTGGGATCTGGCTTCCTTAGCCATGAGGCTATGGGGACAGCCCCATTTTTAACTATTTTTAAGTGTACAACTTGGTGTCATTAAGCACATTCACACCATTATGCAACTAACACTACTTTCCATCTAGACCTTGTTCATGATCCCAAAGTAGAATTCTGTATCCACTGAAAAGTAACTCCCCATTTTCCTCTGCCCTGGTCCCTGATAACTACAAATCTATGTTCTGTCTCTATACATCTGACCACTCAAGGTACCTCGTATGAGTAGAATCATACACTAGAGGACTTTTATAAGATGGCTAGCTCCACTGATGGCTGGCAGCCACTGTATTCCAGAAGACTAGAAAGGACAATCAACATTCAGAGTTCACCCACCAGAGACTTTGAAACAATGAAGTAATTCTTATATAATTACCAGTGTAGTCATCAAAGTTGACTCTTCCTCTCATTGTGTTCACAACAGATTCTGGTTGCTCAAAAATTTCCTTCTGCATAAATGAACTGAAGTTGCCTATAGTAATAGAAATTATGTTATTAGAACAAAATTAACAAACTAAACAGTAAGAAAAGAAGTTTGTACACAACTGAAAATCTATCTCCTTTAACAATCTTGGTAGATGAAACACAAGGCCATGTGATAAAGATAGCATTCGTATATGACTGCCTAAAAGACTGAATGAATTCTGTACCCATTAAACAGTAACTCCCCATTTTCCTTATTTCCCCTTTCCATATTACTCTATGTGAAGAAAAATGAACAAGTAAGGGGACTAGCAGCTAGCATAATGGCTATGTCACTGAACTCCCATGTAGTCGACCGCAGTTCGAGTCCCGGACCCGGTGGCTTAAACCCACACCGGGTGCATGTGCGTGCATGCCCAAGATCCTGAGAAGAGAATGGAGGAGAATGGATTGTGGCGTCGCAACCCCCCCCCGGGGGGGGGGTTATTTCTTGCTTTCTACCTCTCTATCTCTGGCTTTCTGGTGAGTGCACGCGCCCTATAGCAAAAACTTCTTAAAAAAAAAAAAAAAAAAGGACAAGCAAGGAGGAAAAGTCAATTTTATATAGCAAAACGGGGGAATAAGACAAGATTAAATTTTGGAATCAGGTCTAGATTCAAATGATAAATCAATCCTTCACTATGTAAAACGGGAAAATTCCTTAATTTGCAAAATAAGAACGGCAGCTATTCCATAAAGTGTAACATAGATTAATATAGTCAACAATTAGATAATTCTTATGCATAACATTATCATTGCATTGACATTATTATGCAATAAATGTTAGCTTTTATTCCCACCATAATACCATCAAAAAGGAGAACTAAAATCAAAACCGTAATAATCATAACAGTGGACAGCAGAAAATCACAACAGTGGACATACACATTACACAGGATTATGTGTATCAGTCACTGTCCTAAGGCCTTTATATATATATATATCAGCTCTCTTAAATCCTCAAAACAACGGTTCTATCGCTCCCATTTTGCATATGAGAAAAACAGAAGCACAGAGAGATTAAGAGAAGAATCAGGAATAGAACACAAACCACAATTATGTTGTAATGTTAGAAACAACAGACCGCAGAAGGCATAATTGTTACATCAATGGACTCCCATATAGTCAACTGTGGTTTAAGTCCCGAACCCAGTGGCTTAAAACTCACGCTGGGTGCATGTGTGTGTGTGTGCCCAAAATCTGGAGAGGAAAATGGAGGAGAAGGGACTGTAGCGTGGCCACCCCTCCAGGGGGGTGATTTCTTACTTTCTCTTTGTCTCTCTCTGACACTAAAACATGACAAAAACTTTACCTTTCATGATCTGCTGGAGTTCCATCTGGAGGGTTTGCACAGCTCGTCCAGGGTGATCTCCAGCAGTTCGCTTAATTCGATGGATGGAAAGACGGCCATCCACCACCGCTGCAACATCATCATCTTCTAGAAAGATGACACGATTGGTGTGCTCTATGACAGCACTATAAAACAGAGATACCATGGTCAATGACAAAGGATGTATCACAACAGAAACTATCATCAGGACACAGGGACCAAATCTGAATACAAACTCTTTGGTCCTGCAACAGCTCTGATAACTTTCTGATTAACAATGCCACCCCTGGGACCAGCAGTTAGCGTAATGGCTATGTCGCTGGACTCCCACGTAGTCAACCGCGGTTCGAGTCCTGGACCCAGTGGCTTAAACTCACGCCGGGCGCGTGTGCGTGCATGCCCAAGATCCCGAGAGGAGAATGGAGAAGGGATTGCGGCGTGGCCATCCCCCCTGGGGGGTGATTTCCTGCTTTCTGTCTCTCTGTCTCTGTCTGTCTGGCTAGTGCACACGCCCTATAGCAAAAATCTCTCCAAAAAAAAAAAAAACAATTCCACCCCTACAGGGTGTGGGAGGGAAGTGGTCACTATGAACAAGAAACAAAAGGATCTCTGCATGGCAACCTAAGCCAAATTAGATCAGATCAGAAAGCATGGCTATTTCCTCCCGGGTCTATCGATTACTAAATCCCGCTGTTTTAACTCCTGTATGTCTTAAAGCTTTGATGTCCACAACAAACCTGTTCAGGCTACCACCTGACTATCGCAGCAACCTCCTGACTTGTCCACTCAGGCTCCCTTATCTCTCCCCATTCATTCTCCATTTCTGCCAAAATTAATGTAAAAATGTGATTCTAATTGGAATTTCTCCCTCACCTAGCAAATGACTTCACGGCTTCCCTTTGGCCCTTATAAATATGACAAATTGCCTTACCATGATCCCACCTCCTTCGGAGGCTCATCTCCCTTATTCTCTCAAATCTAGTCACACTCACACCCATCGAGAGCTCTCACAGGCTGAACCACAGGTAGAGAATGGATGTTCTTCCCTCTAACTCTTCACCTAATTAACGCCTGATTGCTCCTTAGCTCTCAGTTCAAGCATCACTCCCTTAAAGAAATTTGCCCATGAAGGATAGATAAGTCACCCTGTTATTAGTATTACAGGTATCCTGAGGCTGGAATTCTATACTTGTGTGATTCCTATTTAAAACGTTATCCTCCGTGAAAGAAGAGCTACATATGAACAAGCAGTATTTGTATTTTTACTCGCCGTTATCCCAAGACCAGCATATGGCTTTCCTCAGTGTTCAATATAAATGCATGAATGAACAACAAAGGCTGATATGCTTCTGCAATTCCTAGCTTATTTATGCCTTCACTGTCACCTGTGTAACAAACCTACTTTAACTAAAGCAAGCTCACATCTTAACAAACCTACTTTAACTAAAGCACTGGCCACAACACACGCCTTACACATCTTACACTTTGCAAAAATGAGACAACAGTGAAGCCTGTTTTTCCACTGAGACGATACATTCCCTGAAGATTAAATGGAATCGTCCTCTCATTATTATTACTTTCTCTTATTATCTGGCACAATGAATGACTCAAATTGCTGGCAAGTTAAGTGATTCCATTTTATTATAATTACTATTATTTTATTTGTAAATGCATCTAAACATCCTACCACATTTTCTCTCAAAATATCTTAGTCTAGTCCTATTTCTTTATAGAAGTGACTAGGGTGTGAATAAATTCTAACTGTAAAAGTGTCCATATATGACTAAAGCTACGATGCTTTAGTGTGAAACTAAAACTGATTGGTTACTCTCCAACATAAAAAAAATCTCTTTTCTCTAAAAAATTAAAGAAAGACAAAAACACAAGAGCTTTAAAGTACCCACACTGAAACAAGTTCCAAAAATATACCTGGATATGTTCTTGGTAAACTAACCTACATGTTTTGATTGAGAAGAAAGTGTCTTTAACAGCCCCATATCTTAATCAAGGAAGTTCTCCTATATATCATGCCTAGGGTAATGCAAATGACTTCCTGGTTTTCTGTAGCATGGGAAGTATTACTAAATATTCTTGAAACAACTGAGGAAGTTCACCTTGCATCAGAAGCAAAGTAATATTCTACTGCTTTTTCTTCAACAGGGAAAAGGCAAGTTGTGCTGTCCACACGGGAGAGGTTGCAGCTTCCCTTCTTGTCTTTGCCTAGAGCATGTAGTTAAGATGAGTCAGCAAACAGGTAGAAAATCATGACCAATACAAAAATATAGACGGTTTTCTACAAAATCAACAAAAAAAACACAGCAAAACAAAGTAATTTCAGCAATTTTACAATGCCAGGTAGTTCACCTCATTTCCATGCAATAAGCCAATAAGAACAGATAAATGTAGAATGAAATCCCAAATCAAAGATTGCATGGCACACAATAGTGCTATGTTATAAACCTTTTAATGTAATATTTCTTTTCCAGGTAAAAGTCAAATAATCATGTTGGAGGTGATGTTTTCCTCTGTCTCTCTCTCTCTCTCGCTCATGGAATAAATAAATAAACTTTTTACAAAGTCAAATAATGCATTTATATTATCATTTTTTAATCAAATATGTTTGTGTGTATATATATATATATATAGACTAATCTTAATTTAAAACTTGATGAACTTAGTACATATGTTTGTGCACCTGCATTTATCTCAAGAATTACATTAAAATATCCAAACTATGCAAAAAAAAATAAAATGAAACCTTGTAGCAAATTCATTTTTATTATTTCATAACAACATTCCGTAGATTTTAAGAGCAAAGCAAGTCAGCATAACAAATTTAGCTGTGGTCTATGATAATTATGATTAAAAAATAAAACAAAGATACATATCACTCTCTAACCAAGATATATTATATTTGGCACCTACTGCCAGAGACACAAAATATTATAAACCAAAACTTCTTTTTTCAGGACCAGCAGATGGCATAATGATTGTGTCACTAGACTCCCACATAGTCAACCTCAGTTCAAGTCCCAAACCTGGCAGCTTAAAACTCATGCCAGACACATGTGCACGCATGCCCAAAATCCTGGGAAGAGAATTGAGAAGGGACTACGGCGTGGCCATCCCCCGGGAGGTGATTTCTCACTTTCTGTCTCTCTGGTGAGCACATGCACCCTATAGCAAAAATCTCTCTCTAAAAAAAAATACTTTTCTTAAAATTGGGTTTTCTGCACTCCTTTTAAGTCAAGATAAAGTATGGTCTTTTTGCAATGATAACGTCTTTTTAATTCTAATGCTTCAGAATTCTGGCATCTCTACTTAATTTACACTGATGAATATTTTTTCCTTTCTTTTTTCTCATTTACAACTAAAGTAAAAATGAGAAAGCTGGGCCAGCCAAAGCCACGGCAGTTAAGCCAGCGAGATTCCACATGGCTAGCTGCACAGTTCAAGCCCAGACCCAGTGGCCTGAAAAGCTTGCCAGGCACACGTGCATGTGTGTCCAAATTCCTGAAATGAAGAAATGGAGGAAAAAGATTGCAGCATGACCATCCTTCATAGTGGGTGCTTTCTCATTTTCTGTCTCTTCCTCTCCCTCTCTCTCTCTAGCAAGCACCTAGACTCTCTTGCCAAAAAAAAAAAAAAATTAAAGAAAAGCTGGAAACTATACTGAAGTTGGACAAATTTTCTTATATATGACTAATTTATCCAACTATATCATGACACATTGGGTAAATACAGAAAAAATAAATCTATTAATTGAAGACTATATAAATATCCTAGAGACAAAAAAGCACTTCTCTTCAAGGTCAGGACATAGACCTTATAACCTATGGATGCGACAGCCAGAGAACATCACTTATAGAAACTCATATTGTAACTATTCTCTAAAATCCATGCATAAAGACTCGGTAATAATTATTCTTAGAAATGTGCATCCAGCGTTCTCCAACATCTGTTATTATTTGGCATGTTTTAGGCATGAAAACAAAACAAGCTCATCCTTGCCCAACTGCAGTGGTACATGCTGCTAAGAAGCTGTGCTCTGTGAACTAGGACCACATGGGAGCCCTGGGTTAGATTTCCAGTCCAACCAACAAGCCAGGCACAGTGGCATGTGTCTGTAATCACAGTGACTCAAGAGGGTCAAGCAGAAAGATCATGAGACTAAAAGCCTGTCTAAAAAAAAATATATATATATATACAATAGTTCTTATCCAAGTTCAACAGCAGAGGCAATAAACTCACTACAATGGTTAAGTCCTGTGTTTAGGGAGTCAGATCCCACACGGTCCACCATGATTCAAACTTAGGCCCCGAATGCTTGAAAAGCCTGCTGGGCACCTGTGTTCTCCATAAATGGAGAAATGGGGGAAAAGGACTGTAGTGTGACCACACGCCATTAGGGTGGTGGTGTCTCTCTGTCTGTCTGTCTGTCTCTGGCAAGTGCATGTGCCCTGTAACAATAAATACGTAAGTATAAGATGACATCCTAGACAAAGGAACAGACCCCGTTTGTGGGGCTGGGAATGAGACAAGGGTTGACGCTAAAGGGTCAGTGCCCAGGAACTTTTTGGGAATGAAATTGTTCTGTATCTAGCCACAATAGTGGCTACTGAACTATTTGCACTTGACAAAACTTGTAAAATAGTCCATTAAAATATCCATTAAAAATTTACTTTTATCAGGGCTGGCAGGTGGCATGGTGGTTAAGGTGCTGGACTTTAACATGGTCAACCACGGTTCAAGCCCTGGACCTGGTGGCTTGCTTTCTCACTTTCCCTCTCTCTCTCTGGTCAAATTCAAAAATGATGATGATGATGATAAATACATTTAAATAAATAATTCTAAAAAAATTTACTTTTATCTAAAAAAAGTTATTTAGAAAACAGGTAAAAGGATAGCATCTACATTTTAAAAATAAATACAACTAGCTTTGCTTATAAAATATCCTAGAGGGACTGAGTTTCACTTTGTTCTTTCTCCAAATATTAATAATTTCATTCTTCAAGTAATAAAGTGCATTTAGTGAAAACATTTATAAGGATTTGAGGTACTGCTGCCTATTTAAGAGGAAAGAACTTTACCACTTCTATGTAGCTCTTATAATGTATAACATGTTTTCCCATCTGTTGGTGATCTTGTCTGAAAAAAAGTGAATCACAGGCACCATTAGGTGGCGTAGTAGTTAAGTACTGGACTCCCACATGTTGATTATGGTTTGAATCCCAGACCCAGCAGCTTGAAACTCATGCCGGGCACATGTGCATGCACGCCCAAAGTCCTAGGAGGAGGACAGAAGAGAAGGATTGTAGTGTGGCCTTCCCTGCTGGGGGTAATTTCGAGCTTTCTATCTCTTTGTCTCTCTAGTGAACATGGCACCTTAATAGTAGAAATCTCTCTCTCAAAAGAAAAATTAATTATAATTACTATCAGCCTTGTCCTATAGATAGAAAGATGGCTATTTCTGGTCAGTGGTCATGCCTAGAGAAAAGAGCAAAAGCCCAAAAGCCAAGCCAGGTTTCTCTCCTTTCCACACCATCTGCAATAGGAGGCTATTCTTCAATTAATCTTTACTGAGTTACAAATTATCTACCTACTCTCCTAGGAGGCAAAGGCATAAAGGTTATTTAAACACAGTTCCGGATCTCAAAAAGCTCAGTCTCAGGATATTTTTTCTTCCAGCATCTTAAGACCTTCGCCAATATTTTCTTATTTCTAAAAGCAGCCCAAGTTGACATACAAAGCAATATATAGATAACAGACACCCAGATAGAACTATCTACAGAAATTTGGAACTCTGGATCCAAATACTGTACTCTCACTGATAAGACTGGTTTTCCCTCTGAAAAAGGGAAAGGGAAAGGGGCCGAAGATAAGAAATTCTAACATCTTAAGACTGAATGATGTTTGAAGAAGTAGCTTCCTGCTTTAGGCAAAATAATAGAAGCAGTTACCATCATAAGAGGAACAGGTGTACCAGCAGGTGGCATAATGGTTATGTCGCTGGGCTGCAACATAGTCGAGTGCAGTTTGAGTCCCAGTCCTGGCGGCTTAAAACCCACAATGGGTGCCCAAGTGTGCATGCTCAAGATCCTGAGAGGAGAATGGAGGAGAAGGGATTGCAGTGTGGCCATGCGCTGCACCCAGGACGGGGGTGATTTCTCACTTTCTGTCTCTGGTGAGCACACACACACCCTATAGCAAAAAATCTCTCTTTAAAAAAAAAAAAAGAGAGAGAGAGAGAAAGAAATAAAAAAAGGAATAGGTGTAGAGTACTTTGCTAAATTTTTTTTAAGAAACCAAGAATTATACATTAACCTACCAGTCTTTGTCTTCTACATGGGAAAATTTTAGTAATTAGTAAATGGAAGGAGCACACTGTTGTTTTTTTTTCCTGTATAATTATATCAATAAAATGATCTAGAGTTTGTGTAGCTGAAAAACCTATAAAAAAATAAACTTCAAACATAGTAAAAAAGAATGACTCCAAATACAAATAGAGAAAATCAAGATATCAAATGTAAATCTAAAATGCCATGCATAAAATATAAACCATATATATGTATTTCAGTTAAAAAAAGGCTAAGTTATTCAAATGACTACCACTTAGTTTAATCTATAACAACCCAGGACACAATGCTGTTTACCTAATCTAAGCATGTATCCTACAAAGAAAAAAACATGTTACAATTTCAACTATTTTCTGAAATCTCAGATATTTTAAAAAACAAATTATTAAAAGCAGTTTTCTAAATGCCAAAAGCAGACAAAATATATTCTGCAAATTAGAAAAAAATTGTCGAAATATGTTTCTCAATAAAATAAGCACATTTTTAGAGGCCCAGCACATTCATTCACTCCAACAAAGAATTAGTAAAGAATGAACAAAAGAGGGTCAAAGTCCTCTCCATCCATGCAGAATGCATTTCCCACCTCTTTCTCCCTGTGATCCCCACCGAGTGAATTTTGATCCAATATGAGTCCTAGCTAAGGATATACAACAGAAAAAAAAAAAATTCCTACTAGTAAGAGAACTCAGAAAAACAAATCTTTCTTATGTCTAGACAGAACTATGTATATTTTTAGACTGTGACCAAAAGGGCATTGATTCTAAGTTATGGAAAACAATTTTTTATATTAACTGTACTCAATTCACACATTTTCCCCACAGCATGACATAAGAGCAGTTTTACCTGTTCTGTAGAGTATCGGAATGTGATCAGTAGAAAGCTTATGTTCACTACGTACACCAATCAACAGAGGGCTACCTCGTCTGTAAATGCAAGATTAGTCAGGATTAAACCATTTTTATAAAAAAAAATGCACTAACAATATTAAATTTAAATAAAATGAGCCAATGCTCTTCAAATAACGTTACATTCTCCTCTAAGCTCAACTTTGGGATACATCTCTAAGAACTAGAAAAAGAGAATTTTTAAAGAACATCCTATAGCAGCAATCAACAAACTAAAACCCACCAGCCAGATTTGTCCAATTTTGTAAATAAAGATTTTTGCTGCTGTTTTTTAATTACCAAAGGGAGCATGTGCACTCCAGAAAATGAAGGAGAGCCAGAGGGAAATGAAAGAGGAGGAAGCACTCCCACGGAGCATGTTCATGCTGCAATCCTGTCTCTATTTCTCCAGACTGTTAGGACTTGGGGCATGCACCCACGTGTTTCTCAAGCCACCAAGACCAGGACTTGAACCTCAGTCAGTTGTGTGGGATCTAGAGTTCCCTTAACTACTAGGCCACTGGGCCAACCCAGGAATATTTTTTTGTTTTGCTCTATTTTGTTCATTTCTAAGGTTTTTGCCATAGGGTATGTGAACTCACCAGAGACAGAGACAGTGAGAGGGAGAGAGGGAAAATGACAAATCACCTACTAGTGATAAAAATCCTATTAGAGAAGTCACAAAAACAAATCTTTCCTATGTCTAGAAAGAACTATATATATTTTCAGAATATATATAATATATATCCAAAAGGATATTGATTCTAATTTATAGAAAACAATTTATTATATTGACTGTATTCCCCCAGGGGAATGGCCATGCTGTGATCCCTTCTCCTGTGTTCCCCTACTGGGAGTTTGGACACACATGCACATGCAGCCAGTATGATTTTCAAGCCACCAGGACCGGGACTCAAGCCCCAATCAGCCACATGGGAGTCCAGCATCTTAACCATCATGCCACCTGCTGGTCATGTTTTTTCTTTTTAATTGTCATCATTTTTTTTGTTTGTTTTTAGGGTTTTTGCCATAGGACACCTGCTCTCCCTGGAGAGAAACAGAGAGACAGAGAAAGGGAAAGTGAGAAATCACTCCCCTCCCCCAGGGCTGATGGTCATCGCTTCTCCTCTCAGGATTCTGGGCACGCATGCATATGCACCCAGCATGATTTTCAAGCCTCCCAGTCCAGATCTTAAACCGTGGTCAGCTATGTGGAAGCCTAGTGCCTTAACCACCATACTATCTGCTGGCCCTATAACTGTTACATTTTTTTAATTGGCAAATTTTAAAAAATCATTAAAGAGTTTTACTGGAATACAGCTATCCTCACTCTTTTACTTATTTTCTATGACTATTTTCACACTGCAACAGAAAAGTTGAGCAGTTATTACAGAGGCCAGATGGCACAGAAAACCTAAAATATTTACTATTTGGCCCACTCCAGAAAAAGTCTGCCAACTCATGATCTATAACAATTTAAAATTTTTCTCCTTTTCAACATAAAATTGAATCCTTCTTTCAATTATACACAGAAGGTTGATGCATAGAAATTTAACACTTTCTTCAGATTAAAGCTGTCTCTCACACAAAATCTTAGGGCTCCTCACTCTTCTTAAAAGGACATTATGTGACCAGCAGTTGATGTAATGGCGATATCGCTGGACTCCCATGTAGTTGACCGCAGTTCGAGTCCTAGACCTGGTGGCTTAAATTCATGCCAGGCGCATGTGTGTGCGTGCCCATGATCCTGAAAAGAGAAGCAATTGTGGCCTGGCCATCCCCCCTCAGGGGTGATTTCTTGCTTTCTGTCTCTCTGTCTCTCTTTCTGGCAAGCGCATATGCCCTATAGCAAAAACCTCTCCAAAATTTAAAAAAAAAAAAAAAAAGTATATCATGGTCAGCCCTAAATATGCTAGCAAAAGTAATGATAGTACAATTATCTAGGAATCTGCCTAGAATATGTTTTTCAAAATAGAGTGGGAAAAAGTTAATGCTTTGGGCCTAAAATGAGAGACCATCTAATACCCAAAATCACAAAGTTACCATGGTGCCCCTCAAAGACAATAGGTAGCACAGTGGTTAAGTTGCTGGACTTGCACATGTCCCACCGTAGTTTGAGTCTCAGACCTGGTAGCTTGCTTTCTCACTTTCCCTTTCTCTCTCTCTCTTTCTTTCTCTCTCTGGTCAAATTTAAAATAATAACAAATAAAATAAAATAAATTATTTTTAAAAAAGAAATACCAAAACATATTTACTTTTTATTTAATGTCACCCTTTCTTAGGCTATTGATACATTTTGAGAATCTCTTGTCTTTGCAATGACTCAAAACCCTCAGAAGAAAAGTACCATTTACAATAAGAATGTGATGAATGTCACAAGCTTCCACACCAGGTCATTTTTTTTGTTTTTTTCCCCACCTCAAAACTTGCCAGAGCAAAGACTTTATCCCCAAAGCCAAGATCTGTTGAGACTTTCTCAAACTGGCTGCATACAGCACCTGCATTTGCTAACAAGAAGGCTTCATTATCTGCAGTCAGCTTTTCTCCAAGTTTCCTGAGAGCTGTTAGCATCTCCACTTTCTATTGAGTGCGCAGGTCTCTTTCCAGCTTTCCTACCATCAGATCTCTATCTCTGCTAACCTTGTCTGAAGCTGACCTGATTGTTTCTCTGCAAACAATCTGATGACCGCTGGAGTTTTAAAGGCCTGGCTAATAGCTGCCTGAATAGCCAGCTGCATTCTACTTAGTTCATCTACCAAAGCCATATTTCCAGACATAATTTTCTTCGGTGAATCATTAAATTCACTTAGTTGCTCCAGAGTTTCCTTTTTGGTTTCTTCATATTCATCTGTATCACGTTCCTCCCTGAATTCCTCCAGATCTTGTAATTGCTGCATTAGTCTATCCAGCTGTTCTTCTAAATTCTGCTTTAATTTGCTTGTTTCTGTCTTTCCTCTGGAAGCCATTTTAATCTCAGTCTCTTAGTACTCTGAACTGCACAGTGATGAACGGTCTCAAATTGCATGAATCTCCAATTCTTGAAGTTCGCAACATCATAAACTTGAGAAAAGCGGAACTGTTTATCAGGACTATAAGAGGCTCAAAGTTCAAACCTCCTGAGTGTCCAGGCCAGTTTGAATATGAAATATGGGTAGACCACCCATATTTACTTTATTAATGGATTCTATTAAATGGGAAGAGTAGCTAAGCAATAGACAAGAAAAAGCATATGAAAATAAAAATATGCACTTGAACATCTCTAAGCATGGGGTCTTTACACTAAAGAGTCATTTAATGGTCTACAGAAAAAAAACTTATAACACAAATGTTTCAAAATACACATAATTATTAGTCATAATTAGATTTATATATACCTTGTGCCAACTGCTTGCCCAGGAAAATGAACACTTTTAAATACAAGTGCAAAAGCACCTTCCTATGAAGAGAAACAAATGCATTAGCAGTATTTATTACGATCAAATGTGATATGCCTAAAACATACTGATTCAGCACAGAAATTTTTCATTCACATGGTGCTCTTTTACACTAGTATATAATCAATCTAAATTTTAGGTAGACACTCTTGAGCTTTGGTGTATATAAGACCTACTTTTTTTAACCAAACACTCCCTCAAAATATGCTCAACAGATAAAAATTCCCCAAACAGATCATTTTAAAAGTCATTTTTGTACATACTACCACTATTTCTCAATATATATATATCATCTCTCATACTATGAATTAGTAGGGAGGAGGACAGAATTTAAAAAGTTCCCAAGTTCAATATCCAAGATCTAGTCTTTGTCCTAGTAATTATATACCACTGTTAACGTCCATTCTTTGTGACCTTGATATGAGATTTAAATAAATACGATCATAATTTTTTACATATACAACCATACCACCCTATCAACCTAACCTCCTCAGGGACAGGGCCTAAAGAAATCCAAAAAGGATCAAGGAGAGAGGGTAGAAAAGGAAAGAATGGCCCAGCACATAGCACAGGGTTATCCCAGCATAAAGACTGCATTTCAATGAAGGTACCCTCATGCTAAGCCACTGGCTGGGAATAGCACTTGAGCGACCAGGAAGCAAGAGAGTAATGACTCCTCAGTGTGTGTGTGTGTTCGTGTTCACATGAGGTGTGTGTAAAATGATCTTTAATTTTAGATTATTTTTACTTTGATGACACTGAAGTATAGTGAAATAAGTAGAATTTTAAGTGTATGTGGAAAGGGAGGGGTTATTAGGTCAACAGTCTCTCAAAATTTTTCAAGTTGAATATATATGTATATATCCAAAAATACTCAAGAAATTAGCCTCGTTCTTGCTTATCAAACTAAATTTTAAGAAAGCTTCTCAGGGCCGGCAGATGGTGTGGTGGTTAAAGGTGCTGGACTCCCAGGTGGCTGACCGTGGTTCGAGTCCCGTATCTGGCAGCTTACTTTCTCTCTTTCTCTCTCTCTCTCCCCCCGCTCCTTCTCTGGTCAAATTAAAATAAGTAAATAAACAAATAAAGTTAAATAATAATTAGAAAAAAGAAAGCTTCTCATGATTAATGTTGGCATAATTATCTTTAAAAGTGTGGTTTAATACCAATTGTTGGATAACTCTTTCCACCAAGGTAGTAAAACTGGTATCTTGACTTTCCCGGTTGTCATACATATACTTAACGAGCTTGGCAATTGTCTCTGTGTCTGTCTCAGATTCAAAATCATAGCCTTTGCTTTCCTGTAAGCAGACAGAAAAAAAAATACATTTAAGAAAATATTCATGATATCCAAATCTTTTCTACAGAACTTTCACCTTGAAAATCTCAATAATCTAATTTTCTGAATACTGTATCCCCTTTATCCACTGTTCAAAATTAAGGGCATCATCTGATTACAGTGAATCCAAAATAGTGTGCTATTCTGTGTAACTGAACATGTGCTTAACTTACATAAACCCATATATGCCACATATAAATTAAATATGTTTAAATAAAAATGATTCTTCCTTTGATGATACTGCACTGTCTGATACAACAGCCATTAGCTATGTGGGTATTTAATTAAAATGGAAAGAAATCAACATTCAGTTCATCAGTCCTGATAGCTCAACAGCCACATACGGACTGTTGCCTTGAACAGCACTGAAAGTGTAGCTGGGCAGTCCTGACAAGGCATTCATAAAACCACCATTACAACCATTGCTACAGTCTGAAACCATTTAGGACAGAGAATCTTCATTTAATCATTCAACATACTCATTCCTATATAACTTAGAAACTTATTTTTAAAATGACACCAAACATGGTGTCTCACAATACAGAAGCGACCCCCTAAAATTCCAATTTTATTTGAAATTTTGGTCATTTATATAAATTCAAATAATTACTTCCTTTCCATGTAAGAAACACAGAACTGTTCCACTATTAAAGTCCAATCAGCCACATAACCTTATAATTGTCTTAGAATTATCTGATCATACCTAGATGGTGTCCCACATCCCAACAAACAATCTCACTGCTCTCATTAGAATTCCCAGAGTGGTGTCTTCTGAGGTCACTTTACTTACCAAAAATTTTTTCAAGTCTTTGTAGTTGGTGATGATTCCATTATGAATAACAATAAATTCTGAAAGAGATAAAAGTGTTTATGAAACCACCAAATTAAAAGTAATACATGCTATAAGTAGCTATTTCTTTGAATATATTTTTTCTCAAATCAAAAACTTAGTAACATGCTATCATTTCAGATTAACTAAGTACTGTCTACTTTTTACTATGAAATTATCACTAGGGAGATCAGCAGCATTATTTACGTGTCTTGGAAGAAGCTATGGAGGTGGGTATTAAATTGGAAGTCTGGAGACATCAATTTCAGTTGTGGCTAAACTACTAACCTAATGTTGCCATGTAAAAGAAGCAAATTAACTGGGCCTATTTCCTCATTTACAAAGTGAAAGGGCTGAACTAAACTATTATTCTCATTTTTCTGATCATTCACTCTTGAATATGAGTTTTTTAAAGACTTTGAACATGGAAGGAGTGGCAGCAGTCACCTGTAATCCTGGCTAACTGGCAGCTGGGGCAGAAGGATCATGACACAGTAAAACTCTTGTCAATCCCTTTCTGTCTCGCTCCCTCTCCCTCTCTTTCTCTCAGTCCTGTGCTCACTCACTCTCTCTCTCCCCCTATACATGAAAAATAAATTAACTGTTTCTTAAACAACTGAGTATAAGAAATGAAGTTAAGGAGTTTACTATGAAAAACCAGTTATTCAGTTCTCTAGTTAAATGTACCTATGATTCAGACAATTCCTAGAATGTTAGATAAATTAATGTTAAAATATCATTCCAAGAGCAAATAGTATGATCTTGAGATGATTTTCATCTTTTCTTTTCTTTTTTAAAGTTTATTTTATTTAGGGGCTGGCAGGTGGTGTGGTGGTTAAGGGTGCTGGACTCCCATATGGCTGACTAAGGTTCGAGTCCGTGACCTGGAAGCCTTGCTTTCTCACTTTCCCTCTCTCTCTCTCTCTCTCTCTCTCTGTTACTCTGTCCCTCTTTGGTCATATTAAAAAATAAATAAATAAATGGATCAGTAAAGTTAAATAAAATAATTATTTTTCAAAAGTTTATTTATGTATTTTCATAAGAAAAAGAGAGAAGAGAAGGGATGGAGAGGGAAAAGGATCCCAACAAGGTCTTGCCATGCTCAGACCCTCCCCCTAGTTTCCAGTCAAGCCAGGATACAGGTGCCCCACAGGGCCACTCAGTGTGTTCTGGCTGACCTGTTATCCAAACCCTAGGCCTTCCCCTACAGCTCCAGTTTCGCAACAGTAGCACCCTTCCACCTATATATTGTGGCTGGGCCATCTTTTTCCCATTAAATGGTAACTTTGAAAGTTTAAGAATGGATAATCAAAAGTCAACAATACCATTATCTATAGCCACTGACAGTACACAAGAACTGCCAATAGGGATTTTATTAAAGTACATATAAAAGTTAGGAAAGTTACTACTAAGTCAATCTTATGTTAAATTATCAAAATGTAATTAAATATCTGACATTTTGGGGGTCAGCAGATGGTACAGTGGTTACATCGTTAGACTCCCACATGGCCGACCATAGTTTGAGTGCTGGACTTAGTGCCTTCAAAATCATACCAGGCTTCTGTGCATGTTGTCTAAGATCCAGGAAGATAGTGGAGAAGAAGGGATTACAGTGTGGCTATCCCCCCTAAGGGGTGGGTCTCTCTATGTATGTCTCTCTGGTGAGCATATGTTCCCTATAGCAAAGACTCTCTCTTTAAAAAAAAAAAAAAAAAGCTCTGTGGCCTAAGAGTTGAGGCAGCTATTATTCCCCATGATCAACAGCATGGTTCAAGTTCTGGACCCAGCAGCTTGAAAATCATACTAAGTATGAGTGTATGCATGTTCAAAATCCTGAGAGGAGACTGGAGGATTAGGGACTGTAGCATGGCCATACTCCCTGGGGGCGGGGGGGGGGGGATTTCTTACTTTCTCTCTTTATTTCGGTCTCTCTGGCTAACATACATGCCCTACAGAAGAAACTAAAAAGAAAAAAGACTTTACAGCTTTGAATTTGAAATGGAAGTACTAGTATAAAATCATGTTGCGTTTTATCTTTAAATTTGTGTACGCATACACACTGAGGCAAGTATATTTCCTAGTTCTGCCCACTGAAAAGGTCTATGCGCAAATGAGCTCTTCTGGGGATATGGTTTATAGTGGATTTTTTTTGTTCTTGTTCTTTTTTGGCTTTTTTAAAATTTGCAAGAGGGTGTGTGTGCATGTGTTTGCCAAAAAGAGAAAGTGAAAAAGTATCCACCATCCCCCAATGGCCACACAGTAATTCCTCCGCCTCAGGTTTTCTATCCTTTTGAGACTCTGGGTACACATGCACATGCACGCAAGCATGTTTCTCAAACTGCTGTATCCAGGACTCAAATTGTGTGGTCAGCCACGTGGGATTCAGCCACCTTAACCACCAGGTTACAGGCTGTTCCTGGTTAACAGTTTTTTAAATAACATTTCCACTAAAAGGAACTAGAGCTTCTGGGAAAATATCTAATTCCAACTAAAGGGCATAGTTAGATGAACTTGGAACATCTTGGCCTACCAGTAAATAACAAAGACTACTGACCCTATTGGGGTCACATCAAAAGGACTCAGGAACCAATAAGCACCCAAAAGTCAAAGATAAAAAAAAAATGTGTACATCAATACACATACTTATTTCAGCATTTTGAAACAAATTATTTAAATCCATGAGTTTATAATAATCAAAACAACCAAAGAAAAATTCACTGTTCTTCTGGAGAGCATTAGAAATATTGGGTCATACGGAAAAGTCACGACATATTTTTCTATGCAAAAACGCATCATGACTTTTCAGATGACCTAATACTTCATTTTTGAAAAATGAGAAAAGAATCAAGCATTTATCCTGCCTCCCCTATATAATCTATACCTCAGAGTAGCCAAGCACTTGATATGCAGAACTTTCTCTTTCTAGACATATTTGAGATAATAAATGAAGAACAAATGATTATATTTCTATTGGCTTTCAAAAAAATCTACATGCGAGAAGTATAAATAAATTTAATTGACCATGCATTGCTAAATGTTAAAGCTAAAGCTAAGTGGTGACTACAGTAGGTTCTTACATATTCTTCCTACTTCTGGATATGTTCGAAATTTTCTGGGTGAAAAAATTTTTTAAAGAACAAAAGAGTCAGCTTCATTCTTTTTTCCATTAACAGCCTTCTTCTATCATTTCAAAGCACACAGAATCTGCCCATACCGTTATTTTTATCAGAGCGCTGGGGATGACTGTTGACTGGATTGGGTTCTCCATGTGTTGCCCAACGGGTATGAGCTATTCCAAGGTGTACATCAAATTCTATATCCAAATCCATATCTTGTTGTTCTGAAGAAGATAAAATGAAAAAATTCAATATGAAATTATGCTGTATATTCCAATTTTAAATCATGCTGTAGAGATAATTCTACAAGCTAAATGTAAATACAATTATTACAATGCTGTTAACCTAGAATATATAATTATTGAAAAGGAATTTTCAGAATAGTAATTTAAAGAGTTTATACTCTGGTTTCTCTTCAGTTCATATAAATCTTTCGCCTTTTACTAAAGAATAGTAATTTAAAGAGTTTCTAAGTTAACACAGCTGAAATATTTAGGGTCAATAGCTTCGATGACAACCCAAAAATTGTACAGTTAAAACAATGCTAATTGACAAAGCAATGTGAAGTGTATGTGAGTAATTAACTTTTCTAGAGATATGAAAACTTTCAAACTCAAGAGTTAAGTACAAAAGAATTAAGGTAATTTTTTAATCTATAATTACTGCCTTGAAAAATTCCTACCATTCGAAGTAGACATTTTCAAATTCATTTTTTCAATATCACACAACCTTACTACTGCAATTGCTTTGGTCCTCAGTGAATATAAACATTTCGCAATATAACCTGCAATTACAGAACACTTCTAAAATCAAACAGGGTACTTGAGAACTGAGCAACATTGTAGAAGTATAGGCTCTTGCAAAATGAGCATAAGGCAATATGCCTTTGTCTTGAATAGGGCTCATTCCTTTCTTTCCCCTACAAACTATCTTTTTTTTTTTTTTTTTTGCTACCTCTACGGGAAAAGGGACATCTCTAGTTATTTTGCTTCTTTGTTTTTATTTAAATTTATTTATTTACATTCATTTACTATACATCATTATAGCATACAAAATGAGATTATCCATCCAGAATACACTGTATATTGGCTCAATCAAACACATCAACATACATGTTATCATCAACAAATAATTTTCCATTTCTTGTTTCCTGTATATTTTGCTTTTTTCCCCATCCTTGAGTCCCTATCTTTCACCCTCTGCCATCTCCCACCCGTCTCCCACACTGTTATCCATGGTTGCTTTCTATGCCTTTTTCCCTCCCACATTTTATTGATTCACTAAAGATCTTAATTAATCTAATATTTTCAATAGCAAGGACAGCTGATAATATACATATCCATGAATACAAGTCTGACTTAAGGCATAAACCTCACTGAGTAGAATGAACATATTATAAAGTAGCACCTAGCTACTAGAATGAACATATTATAAAGTAGCATATAGCTTACTGCTGTCATCAAATAAGTATTTTTAATGCTTTTTTTTTTAATTTCAAGAAAAACAGTTTTCATGGGGTTTTTTTTCCTGAAACTTTTTTTAATTAATTAATTTACATTAATTCCCGAAGTATCATCACAGCATACAAAATGTGATTTCCCATACAGAATATACTGCATAGTGACTTAATCATGCATGTTATCGTCAATAATTTTCCACTTCTAGTTTCATATACATATATATATATATAGAGAGAGAGAGAGAGATTTTACCTCTATTTCTGACCCTCTGCCCTTTTCCACCCTCTTCTCACACTATCTCTGATGTCTATAGATGGCTTCCATTCCTTTCCCCTCTCCCCCATTTTATTGATCACACAATTTCTTAAATAATCTAACTACTTTCAATAGCAAGTTCAGCTGGCAATTTCAAGAAAAGCAGTTTTAACTTTAATAAATCAAAGAAATGCTAAGGAACTTCGCTTAAAACTTAAAGCCAGGAAACAGGTTAGGACTCTGTTCAAATAGTAGATACATGAACCTATTAAGAGCTTGAGACAGGACAAAAATCTTTAAAATCGGACAACAAAGCCTAGAAGAAAACCACCAATATTTTAGTCAAGAGTCATAAATGCTATTTCACCAGTTCGGTCTTATGTACTTAATCTATCTTCTGTTGTGGTTCAATCTTCCCTATTGAATTCTGGGTATAATATTCAACTTCAGACTTGTCCCTATGATTAAGTTGGCCATTTTCTTAGTTTTTGAACTCTTATTTCTGTGTGTCTGTATTTAATTTTCCTGACAGAGCACTACCTTGAGAACTTCTTGGAGATCTGGTCTGGTGCTGGTAAATTCTTTTAGGTTCTGTTTATCTGAGAATGTTCTTGTCTTTTCTTCCCATGTGAAGGATAATCTTGCCAGGTACAAGATTCTTGGTTGAAATTGCTTTTCCCTTAACATTTTGAATATATTTTCCCATTCTTTCCTAGCTCATATTGTTTCCGATGAGAGGTCTGCTATTAGCCTGATGGGATATCCTTTGTAGGTAGCTTGACGTTTCTTTCTTGCCAATCTTAGTATCTTGTCTTTATCTGTGGTTTTGGTCAATCTGGCTATAATGTGTCTTGGAGAAGATCTTCTTGGGTTAATTCTATTTGGGGTCCTTTGTATTTCTTGGGACTGGATCTTAGAGTGTTTCTCTAGTTTTGGAAAGTTTTCTTTGCAGGATTTCATGGAACAGATTATCAGTGCCCTTATGAGTCTCTTCACCTTCTGACATACCAGTTATCTAGATGTTTGGACGTTTGATGGTATCTAGTATTTCTCATATATTATTCTAATTTTTAGGGGCAATTTTCTCAGACTTTGTGGTGGATTTTTCTAGGCCAGCAGTTTTCTCTTCTACTTCTGAGCTTCTATTCTCTAGTTTTGGAAAGTTTTCTTTGCAGGATTTCATGGAACAGATTATCAGTGCCCTTATGAGTCTCTTCACCTTCTGACATACCAGTTATCTAGATGTTTGGACGTTTGATGGTATCTAGTATTTCTCATATATTATTCTAATTTTTAGGGGCAATTTTCTCAGACTTTGTGGTGGATTTTTCTAGGCCAGCAGTTTTCTCTTCTACTTCTGAGATTCTATTTTCTGTATGATCTAGTCTGCTTTTAATACTTTCAAGGGAGATTCTGACTTCCTGTATTAGAGCCTTCATCTCTAACAGATCCATTTGATTCTTTTTTAAAGTGTGTAATTCCTCTTTTAGATCTTGCAAGAATTTCGTCACCTCCTGGAACTTGTCAGCAACTTTCTCCTTTCTCTTCTGCAGTTCACTGTCTCTCTTCTCTTCCATCTCTGTTAGCTTCTTCATTATGAATATTCTAAATTTTTTAGCAGACATTTCCATGATTTCCATTGAACTGTCTGTGGATGAAGAGGAGCTACTCTTTTCCCTTGGAGGAGAGATATTTTCTTGCTTTCCTATATTTCGTGTGGATCTGCGATGATTTCTAGTCATCTGATGGATGGTGTGTTTCTTCTTAAACTTGAAGTTCAATCTGAGCGTTCAGGAGCATGAAGAAAGAGGTGATCTGGAATCTATTTGCTGTTCCGTTTTGATCCCACCTGAGTTTGTGGGCCGGAGGCTGAATTACCAGTAGAAAATCTTCATTTCTCTTTTTTCATTAGTTCTCAGGAGCCATGAAGGTGTCTTTTTCTCCATCTCTAGTTAGTAACTAGTGATGCCCTTCTTCTAATTTCCCAAATATAAAACTCATCTGGCTAAGCAACTAGGTGACAAAGCTTATGAGAATCAGATCATTAGAGCAAATTGTGCAGAAGTCTGAATGGGAAAATCCACACACTTTAGGACAGTCTTTGATTTTTTAATTGGTCGGTTGAATTTCATTCAAAAACACAAATGTGATCAGGAAACAATGCTTAAAATCCTTGAATTAAGATTATAGACATTCATTGCTTTAAAAAGTGAGTTACAACCCTCACTGCATTTGAAACATGCTGAACCTGGCCACAGGGATGCATAAAGAGATCCTCAACTATCCTCAGAGAGCCATTTTCTCCCAAGATAATGCCCCAACACCTTTTCATGGCATGGTGGCCCTTCACCACACAGTCCTCATCTATCTTTCTATCCTCATCTCCACCTCTCTTCCATTACTCCTCAAAGCTTCAATGCACCTTTTAAAAATAGCCACTAACATTTACCAAGAACTTTCTTTGCACTAGGTACTAAAGATTTCTCACCACCCTAGCACAATCGTTGTGGCCCAAGCCACAGTCATCTCACCGAGAACTACTTCCATAGAATCCTGAGTCTCTCTCTGTATCCTGTCTTCCCTCTACAATCTAGCTTTCACACCAATGAGACAGTCCGTTCAAAATAAAAGTTAGGTCATGTCCCCAGTATATAAAACTCTTCCAACAGCTTCCCACAACACACACAGTAAAATCCATTTGAGACCCTATGTGACTGAACCCCCAGGCACCTCTCTAGTCTGAATTCCTCTTACTCTCCCCCTCACTGACTATGCTCTAGCCCCACTAACTTTCAGCCCTAAGCAGACCAACCCCACAAAGGGTATCTGTGCTCAGAATTCCCTCTGCCTAGAATTCTCTCCTTCAGAATAATTACACAACCTCTACCGGTATGTCACATCTATCATACTTTTTCTTCATGGTACTAGTCACTACCTAACTTTATATATTTACTTGATATCTGGCCCTCTCATTAGACAGTAAGCTCTATCAAGGCAGGGAGTTTGTCTACCTTATTCTCTGTTGTGTCTTGGGGCCTAAAACAATGGCTATTTAGACAGGCATTCAATAAATCATTTTATTATTGAGTCCTCGCATTTCTCTGTGAGACAGTTACTACTGTTTCCATTTTACAGGTCAAGAAACTGATGCTCAGAGATGACAGAGAATCTGCTCAAAGTCATAGCTAATAAGAAGCAGAGATGGAGTCTAACTCCAAGATTGGTTGACTCCAGAGTCCAAGAACAAACAATAGTGATGTACTCTGCTGTACTGTTATAGTATCTATCTATCCACCCTGAATTTCACAGCACTTTGCACCCTCTGGCAGAACTATCAGCCTGGTCAAGATGCAGAATACACAGTGGACAGATTATGTAAACTGCAGTTTTTGAAGTGTGGTTATGTGGGTGCCTCCTTTACCTTTAGCTTATCTTTCCGACAATGCATACAGAGTAAGTATTGATTTAGTTTGTTAAACAAGTACTCTAAAGCCAAATGGTTAGCTTATGTGTGAAAAAAAAAAAGACTAAATCATCATTTTTCCTCTTCTACCTGTACCTTTCTACAATGATTATAATATCTTTACATTTGAGTAAGTACATAAAACACTTGCTACTTCCTCGTTTTTATGAAGGATTTAAAAGTGTTTTTCCAATCAATTTACTTCAAATTTTCTGCTTTGTCTTGAAGATGCTTGTGGAAAAGTAAAATGTATAAACATAATGTTATGAACTAAATACTAAGAAGTATGTCCTCTTTAATACAGTATATATTTCAGGACAATCGCTTGTGCCAGAGAAGTACAAAAATAGGGAGAGAAAAACATGATATTTACCTGGTTATATCTGACCAACTAAAAAGGCAGTATCTATTTGACTATACATTCAAACTAGATATTCAGTCCAATGTGAAGACAACCAACAACTGAAGACACATGAGTAAGGGTGCCACTGGAAAGACTTTTTCCTGTAAAAGACCCTTATTCGGGAATGGTGGTTGTGAAGCTACTTCATTTTAAGATACAGAGCTTGCTCTGAATACAGTGTATGTACTAACTCATTTCCTTCCCTAGTTGCTATGATTTCTGAAGCTCAGGCACATTTTTAAGCTAGTGTGAAAAGTAACAAAACTACTTTTCTTTCCTCCCTTCAACTTTTTTTTTTTTAAGAGAGATTTTTGCCATAGGGCACAGGTGCTCCCCAGACAGACAAACCGAAAGCGATAAATCACCTCTCCCCATGCCACAATCCCTTCTCCTCCATTCTCCTCTAGGGACTTTAGGCATCCACGCACATGTGTCCAGCGTGAATATTAAGCTGCCAGGTCTGGGACTTGAACCACTGTCAATACATGGAAGTCCAGTGACATAACTATACAGAATAGAAGGGGAAGTGGGGCAAAAATCTAACTAAGTACATTACTGTGAACTTCTTCATCCAGTGCCTTCACTTTTCCTTTCTTCTTAATGAGCTGGATTTTGCAAGCATTGGCTTCCCAATCTTTGTCATTACCTCCATCAAAGCCCACACCTAAGTCATCACAAAGGAGAAAAAACAAAATTTAGAAATTGGCCATTGCTAAGATTATCAATGCAAGGCAAAATTTTTTCATTTAAAAAATTACATTTTCATCTAATTAATTCATATATTTATCAACTCAACATTTACTAAAACATCTCTTATGTACCAAGAATCATGACAGCTACTAGAGACAAAAATGAAAAAAACTCAGTTCCTTCCCTCAAATTTCTGACATTCTATTGAGAAGACAGACAAAGAAAAAATAATTACAATACATTGTGCTTATTAAGCTATAATAAAAGTACTATGGGTTGCGACTGTAATGGAGAATACAGATGATAGGCACCTACCTTGGAAAAGAGATAAGGAGGGAAGCTGAAGTAGTCTACCTAAGTTGCCAAGAAATTGAAAATATTACTCTGAAGGTACTGAGAAAGTACTCAAAGCAGAGAAATGATATGGCAAAAATATTTAGTAAATCTCTCTGAACTTGAAACAGAAAGAGACCAGTTGTTAGAAGTTATAGCTATAGCAAAGCAAAAATGAAGAGAGCCTGAATTAACAACGGTAATGAAAGAAGGCATAAGTCTGGGATACCTTCTTGGCTCCAAGGACTTGAATGATTGTTGATAAAAGGGACAGAGGAAGAACTGAGCGGAGAGTAGAGTGAGGACTGTGGTGTATTCAGGTCAATTCAGAACACGCAAAGTTTGTATCATAGTATATCCAGAAAGAAATTTCTAGGAAACAGCTGGAAAAATATAGGCCTAAAGCACAGAAAATACATCTGGATTAAAACTACATCTGGACTATAAGTCACCAACATATAAAAGGTTGATGAAGTCAGAGCTCACACAAGAAAATATAAAGTAATAAAAGTAGGCCTAGGAAAGACTCTTGAAGAACACTAATATTTATACAAGTGGAAGAAAAGGAGCCTCCAAAGAAGATATAATCAATATCTCAAGAAGAAAATGAGATGCGTTGTCACAAAGCTAAGGATGTAGAGAATTTTAAGAATAAAAAATTTTAGAAAACCAACTTTCTAAATGAAGATAAATGTCCATCTCATGTAACAATGCTAAGTATATACAAGGGCTAATACAGCAGGTCAGACACTGCTATCCTCAGGAAGGCCTGCTTGCTTTTGAAGTAGGTCCTTTGTTGGCATATGGGAACTTGGATTTCAGGAAGATTACCAACACTCTAATTGAGTAATAATTAAAAGTGCCCACTGACCTAATGTACAATGTGGTCTATGCTGAATGTCTGCTTTTCTTCTAGAAGTCTAAAATTTTTCTAAATTCTAGGCATAGGGTGCTTATATGACCAGCCCTCAGTAAAAACCTGGGGCACTGACTTACTAACGAGTACCCCCAGCAGACATTTCACACATGTCACAACTCGCTGAAAGAATTAAACACATCCTGTATAACTCCAGTAGTAGAAGACTCTTGGAAAGTTTGTGCCTGGTTTCCTCTAGCCTTCACCCCATGCACTTTTCCCTTTGTTGATTTTGCTTCATCTTCTTTTGCCATAATAAATCACAGCCATGAGTATAGCGATATGCTAAATCCCATCAGTCTTCCTAGGGAATCAGAAAATCTGAGGATGGTTTTAGGGACCCTCAGCACAGTTGAAGGAAAGTGCTAGAGTAAAACATAAAATTTATTTAAGATAGAAGAAACTTGGGTGAATTATACATGCCAAAAGCCTGGAATCCACAGAGAAAAAGAAATTCAAATTAGAGGAAAGAAAAAAGAACTTATTGAGTAAGGCCTTTATGAACTTTATTCCACCATGAAATACTCCATACATTTATGATTTTCTAGTTTCACAGTAACATTCTTAATTAAAAAAAAGATCACCATAAATAAATGGTAATACTATTTAACTTAATAAACAAACTCTTTAAACATGATAAAAAGACAATTCTGATTTAGATTTGCCCAAAAGAAAGCAGACAGTACTAAAGATTCTAGTCTCCCCCAAATAGTAACACTTTCTATTTAGATTCAAGAATCATGCAAAACCCATATATTAAAAAAATAAAAAAAATACCAGCAGAATCATATCCTCTGTACTCCAGTCTCTGAAGGCCTTTGATTAGGGTCTCCAAGATTTCTCGTCTTGTTCGAGGAACATGGTAGTTTAAGTAAGCAAATATACCTGCAAATAAACAAATACTTAATGGAAAATTCTAAATAAAGAATTAAAATTCATATTACTATATCTAAAAGGATAAAAATATGAAGTTAATTCTTTTATTATTGTAAAGAATTTGCTTATTTAATTTTATTTATCATTATATTTTTCAATTTGCTAAAGGGTACATGTACCCACCAGAGAAAGACAGAAAGAGAAAGACATAAAAAAAGTAGGAAAGCAAGCCACCAGGTCCAGGACTTGAACTGTGGTCAGCTATGTGGGAGTCCATCGCCTTAATCACCTCACCACCTGCTGGTTCCAGAGTCTATCTTTTAAAAAGAAAGAAATTGGGCCAGCTGATGGCCTTATAACTAAGAGAGCTGGATTACACATAGTCAACTAGGCAATTCATGTCCCAGTCCTTGTGGCTTGAAAGACATGCTGTATGCCTATAAGAAGAGAAAAATGGGGGAGGCTTAGTGGTGCGACCATGCCCCATGGAGGTGATTTCTCTCTCCCTCCCTCTTTTTGACAAGCACATATATCCTCTGACAAATTTAAAAAACAAAGAAGCACAAAGAAACCTTTATTTCAAATTATTTGAAGGTGGTGAGATTTTGTTAAAGGGGAATTTCCTGTAAGTATAATAGACTGAATAAATATATCAAAATAAATGTTAGCTTTTCACAGAAACCATGAGGCTGATCATCTGTCTTCTGTAACTGCCATTTTATAAAGTGAAATTTTACAAAATTAACAAATAGATTCACCCATGGTGGTATACACAGCTAAGAGGCTGCTATTCAGAGAGTGGAGGCCACATGGAAAGCCTGGATTCAGTTTTCCCACCCAGCCTAAAGCAGGCTGGGCACAGTGGTACACACCTGTGGTCTTAGCTAGCAAGAAGGCTAAAGCAACAGGATCCTGACATAGTAGGCCCTTATTAAAAGAAAATAATAGTAATAATAATTTCCCTCTTCCCTCACTCACCTCACTTTTGTAAATAAGTAAATAAAATTTTAAACAAATAAACCAGTGGTTTATGTCCTACGTAATAATCATTTTCTTTTTTTTTTAATTGTCAGAGGGCATGTGTATACTTAAGAGAGAGACAAGAGATAGACAGAGAAAGCACTCCCCAATGAGGCATGGTAATGACAAAAAAAATCCCTTTTCCTCAATTTCTCCATACTGACAGGATTCTATTTTTTCAAGTCACAGGGCCTGGAAATTGAACCAGTCAGCCATGTGGAATCTGGTTCCCTTAACCACTACGCATAGCATGGACCTAGGTTTCTAATGTATTTTAAGCAACATAAGAGCCCTACAAAATTATACAGATGGAATAATTTCCTCACTTCCAATGCCCATACTATACACATACATACACACACACACACACACATACACACACACACAGTCTTAAAAGAAAATGACTTGTATCACTTGTTTATCATACCTACAAAAGGCAAATAACTACAATACATATGAACTACTCTTGAAAATTCATGGAAAAGGTGCCAATTTTTGCAAAAACAAAACTAGAAATGAAAGAACTAGTACAATGCAAACTCAGCCTGAAAGACAAAGGTAACAGAATACAGGTAAAGAAAACTCACATTGTAAGAATGGCAAGAGAAATTATCTGATTTGGCCCTGACTGAGTTTTGGTAAGACAAGTATGGCTTAAATGTATAAAAACAGAGGTCTGAAATATATGAAAATAAAGTCCAAGCTGCTTATTTATGAAAGAACTTTCCTTTTTCTTAACTACATTTCACTATAATCCTACTGATTCACTAGGGGTTTTAATTAATTCTGTGGGACAGAACTCCAGAACAGCATTCTTTTCTACTTGAAAAGAGATCTGTGGGAACAGTTGGCATAATGGCTACATCACTGTACTCCCCTGTAGTCGACCACAGTTCGAGTCTCAGACCTGGTGGCTTGAACTCACGCTGGGCACGTGTGTGTCTGAGAGCATAATGGAGGAGAAGGGATAGTGGTGTGGCCATCTCCTGGGGGGTGAGGGTGATTTCTCGCTTTCTATCTCTGTCTCTCTCTGTCTTTCTGGTGAGCCCACACGCCCTATAGCAAAAAAACTCTCCAAAAAAAAAAGAGATCTGCATTTTTATAGTGGGTCCTACTGAGACATTTCAGCACACAAAACTCCCTTATTATAATACCCCACAGGAAAGCCATCACAATTCATATACTGGTCACCATGACCAGTGCAGCACCACTTTCTCAAACTATGGTGCCCTTAAAAAAAAAAAAAGGAAATCCACACTTTAAAACTAAACTCTGGGCCTGGCTCAGTGATGCACCAGTAACATGTTACTTGGGCAATGTAAGATCCACACGGATATCTCAGGTTTAGCTCCCAGTTGACCTGTACAGGCTGGGTGCATGCGTTGATCTTGGTCAGCAGAGAAAGCTAGAGAGCGTCACAGCATAAGAACCTGTTGAGGGTTCTCATCTTGCTCACTCTCACAAAAGTAGAGAAAAAAAAAAAAAAAGTTGGGGAAAAAAAAATCTCTGAAATCCAAAACAACCTGAAACAACTGAACTTTTCTTCAAAAGGTAGATCAGGCCTAAGACTTACAGAGATTCTATTATGTCTTTCAGATTAAACAAAACAAAACAAACAAAAAAAAAACCCTTATATTTGTAGAATTCTTAAAGTTTTCATGTGTTGGTGCTGGCAGGTGGCATGGTGGTAAAAGACACTGGACTCCCACATGGCTGACCATGGTTCGGGTCCCAGACCTGGCAGCTTGCTTTCTCACTTTCCCTTTCTCACTTTCTCTTTCTCTCTCATCAAATTAAAATAATAAATAAGTTAAATAAAATAATTTTTTAAAAGAAAAGTTTTCACATGTTGTACAATATAACTTTCACAGCCCCAACTCTGTAAAGGAGGGCAGAACATCTACTGTATAGATGCAAAAACAGAAATCAAGCTATATAACATCCCAGGGATAGCTACAAATAGCTATTTTGACCAACCTCAAAAAATGCAATTAAGGCAAAGATACCACACACTGGTTCCAATATATCTTTTTAAAGTTTATTAATTTATTTCCATCATGAAAGAGAGAAAGAGAGAGAGAGAGAAACACAAAGACACAGACACTCCCAAAAGGGACTTCACACCACAACTCACCCTGAGCTGCAGCCAACTCAGATCACACATGTGCCTGCCTCACATGCAAGGGGAGTACTTAGGACATGAACCTGGAGCCTTACTTTCCCAGTCTATGTTTCATTGCATTTGGAACACCTTTGTGTGACGTTACACCACCTTGTTTTGAGGGAAAATATTTATTTATTTACTGGGTTGTCGAAAAAGTTGTGGATTTTTCTTTGTATTTCTATGCAAAAATGTGTCATGACTTTCCAACAACCCAGTATTTTTACATTTTTCAGTAACAAATGATATGATGTAACTCTGATAGTCTGAAAGCATCTTCAGAATACTTTCTAGGGCATTAGAGATTGATAGCATTTATATTAAGAGATGCACATTTTCCTGCTGTGTGGTTGATACAGCAGTAGTGTGTTTTCCTATCAGTGGCATCCTGAATTCAATAAACTATCATACATCAAGTTCCAATTCAAAACCTGCATTTTCCTTGACAGAGGAGGTTCTACTATTACCAATAATTACTGTCAGTTTTTTGGTTTACTAATGGAACAAAGTAAAGGAGAAGAGGAAGGATACAGGAAGCAGTAGGAGCAACATTTCTCCTGATATAACTAGCCAGGAATAGTAAGCAAGAAAAGGATGAAAGACACCAAAATATATGTAGAAAAATTTTTTAAGATCAAAGTAATAGAACTGGGAGAAGAAAGGGTAAGAATAACCTAAGTCATTCCTGGTTAGGAAAATGGAAGCTAAGAAATGGAACGTCAGTTGTACAGACCTGCCCCTTGACAACACTATTGGCCTAAAACAGTCCACCTGCTGGGATTGGTGGGTTATCTGTAATCTTGGGGTAGCTGGGATAATATTTTAGCAGCTGAGAACCAGCCCATCAGGCATGCAGAACAGGTTCACAAGGGAGGCATTTATAACCAAAATGGTGCTTGCTCAAGAAGAAATCACTACGAGTGGTTAAGTATTTTCAAGCACTGCTTAAAGTAACCACAAAAGCCTAAATGCAACTCTCCGTCACTTTTTGACAATTGCTCCAACACCACACACAGTAGTTAAATGAACATAGATTTCTTCCCCTTAATGAGCATAACTCCTCCAAAGCGTAACTTCCTTATTAAACAAAATATGCTTGGAATGAAATAGTTCTAACTGAAGCAGATGCTCCCACTGCCAGGGATCATTCTCAGAAAATGGCAACTTGAATTTGACGACATAAAAGCACTTATAAGCACCCTGCTCAACAAAATTTCATAGGCACCCTGAAACTACAGGATTTGACAAACCTGGTATGAAAGCAATCTATTGCATGTAAACTATAAAACTTTACTGAAATGAAAATGAAATACAACTTAACTAACCAATCTTATTACTGAAATTCCTATACAAGATTGTATCTATGTTCTTATGAATAAGAAATGTTACTTTTTTTTTTTTTCATACAATAACTTCAGTATTTTGGCACCCTAGACATTGTAAGTTATCAGGGGCAAGTGTAGAAATTCACTCTCTAAATGTAATACCTCCTGAATTAAAATCCATCTACAATGCCACTAAATTATAAATTCAATGTACTTTTCTCTTAGCATAAGTTACATATTCATTCTATTGCCATTGGAAATTCAAACTACACAGATGCTATAGAATGGTGAAAATCTTCCCTTTCTATCTCCATCCAAGTTCCAGTCCTTTCCTCAGCAATAACCAGTGTAACTCCCATATACATGTTAAAGGCCTTCACATGTGAATTTTTCCACATATATGAACTTAGTTATATGGTTTTAAAGGTTTTTTTAAATTGTTTATTTAATTTTATTTATTCATTCATTTATTTTAATTTGACCAGAAAGAAGCAGAGAGAGAAAGAAAGTGAGAAAGCAAGCCACCAGGTCCAGGACTTGAACCATGGTTGGCCATGTGGGAGTGTCCAGCACCTTAACCATCACGCCACCAGCTGGTCCCCCTGGTTTTAGAGGTTTTGAAATACATAAATGTGATGATACTATATGTATTGTTCTATACTTTTTATTTTTACTTAACATGTTGAAGATCCTTCTCTGCCAACACACATATATCTATCTTATTCTACTTAAGAACTGCATACTAATCCTGAATAGATTTTTGCCATAGGGCGGGCGCCACCACGCCCTAGATTTTTCATATTTTACATAATCACTTCCATATTGAAATTTTTCTATTTGCAATTTTTAAAATAATGTAATTAAACTTATACACATTAGCTAGATGCTTATTATTAAATATATTCAACACTATGGGGTTAGCAGGTGGCACGGTGGTTAAGGCACTGGACTCCCACATGACCATCACAGTTCAAGTCCTAGACCCTGTAGCTTGAAAATCATGCCAGGCACATGTGTGTGCATGTCCAAAATCCCAGGAGGAGAATGGAGGAGAAGGGACTACAGCATGGCCATCCTCTCCTCCCCCTCCTCCCCCACCTCCGAGAGTAATTTCTCACTTTCCCTCTCCCTGTCTCTCTCTGGGGAGTACATGTATCCTATGGCAAAAAAAAAAAAAAAAAAAAAAAAACATAGATAGATATTTAGACAGAGAGACAGACAGACAGATTTAACACTGTAATTATGGAGTCACACTCTCCACGTAAGATTCCTTTAGAAGGGGCCAAACAATGGAACAATGGTAATGCAACACTGTGAGACTGACCCACCTGGAAAGGTTCCAAGTTCACATTTGAAGGTGTCCCTGAACATACCAGCCATACACGTGCCTATGCTCCAGAGCTGGCTGAAGCTGGGGCAAGGGGGGGGGGGCAGATTACTGCATAAAGATCCTGTTGGAAGTTCTGCTGTGTGTGTGTGTGTGTGTGTGTGTGTGTGTGTGTGTGTATGTCAGCATGTGTGTCTCTCTCTCACTTATGGGAAAAAAATAAGTAAACTTTAAAAAAAAAAAAAAGATTCATTTAAAAGACAAATGGGCCAGCAGGTAGTACAGAGGTTAAGGTGGCTAGATCCCACATGGCCAACTGTGTAATTCAAATCTCAGAATTGTCAGCTTGCAAAATTATGCGAGGCACATGTGCGTGCATGCCCAAAATCCCAAGAAGAGAAGGGAGGAGAAGGGAATGTGGTATGGCCATATTCCACCCCCTGGGTGATTTTTCACTTTCCTTGTCTTTCTCTCTGACAAGTACACATGCCCAATAGCAAAACTAAAAAAATAAATAAATAAAAATAAAAATAAATTGAGTATGAAATATTACCTGAAATAAGTATTATTTGAATATTATTAGAGAGGGCACATGTGCTTGCCAGAGAAAGAAAGCGCCATCCAGGTAAATAAGCCACAATCCTTTTCCTCCTTTTCTCCATCCTGTCAGGACACACACACACACACACACACACACACACACACACACATATATATACACCACACACATATATATACACCACAGACACACATGTGGCATGATTTTCAAGTCATTAAGACTGGAATTTGAACCACAGTCAGCATGTGGGATCTGGGTCCAATGCACAGGACTTTAACATGGTGCTATGGAGCCAGCCCATGCGGTAATATTTTCTATAATCCTAAAAACACAAAGAAAAAATTACAGCATATGGAGGGGCAAAAGAAGAACTTCAATTACCTGTATTTTTTTTATTGCTTTACATCTTTTTCCTACATAAAAAATGCTAGTCCAAGTCTCTCCTACTTTCATAACTATGCATGGCCACTAGAAGGGGCAACATGACACTTCCCTTGCATATTAAACATTCTAGAGCTCAAAGCACTGTGTGAGCCCTGACAACTCTAATTATATACTCCCTCACAGCTCACCTCTGCCATCATCTTCCCTGAGCTAAAGCCATGCACTTCCTGCTCACAGACTTTCAAATATTCCACCTATCCCAATTCTCTCTGACTTTTCACATCCAAACATAAGTTTTCATCACTCTACCAAGTAAGTCACTCTAAGCTCACTGTGCTCTTGCTCCTGTGTCCCTGAGCACCCTTGCATCAAATTTTGAGAGCCATCGAGAACTCATCCACTTTAGTCCACTTTCAACAGACCCTCCCAACGGCTGACCAATCTTGTTATTCATAACCCACCTAACTTTCAATTAGCAATAACTGTGCCTGGGATAAACGTCATTGTCTAGGACACTGCCACTGTGCAAAGCTCCTGTCTAACTCCCAAACGTCACCCAGATATCATTTTAGTTGAGAATACATGCTACTCTCAAGTCCCCATTTCTCTCTTACTAGGTTCTAATTTTTGGTAGATTCTTACTTGATACAATTGAGGCCTTCATTTTCATTTCAATAGTATAATACCCTATATGCCTCCCATCCTTCCTTATAAGTTTAAAAAAAAGACATATTCCACATACTATACTCTGAAGCTAGCCTCTCCTATGTGTAACTCTTGAGTGATTCTCCAACTTTGTAAATACAGAAACTCTGGTTTACATCAAAATATTCTGAGGATCCTACACAATCATGAGTTGATTTTGACTATTCGATGATCTAGAATTTTTTTAAATTTAACTGACAGACAATGCAGAGAGTACAAATCAAATGGAAACAGTTTACTAACTTCATGGCTAATGGGTCAGAACTCAACCTCCGACACTTCCAGGGGACATTGGTACCACAATAGTTCTCTGTTGGTATAACTTGGCACTTTCCCCCTTAAAACGAACTCAGGCACTTCTGACTCAACGTGGGCAACTTTCTCTAAGGTTTCTTTATAAAGCAAATCCAATTAACTTCTCTGAAGTATTAAACATGAATGACCTGTTCTACTTTTGCAGACTCTGCCCAAGGCAAAATATTACACTGGAACTCTTTTGTCTCTAACCATTGTTCTATGGTCTCTTTTCCTTGTACTTCCATTTCTTCCTTCAACCCCTTAACAATAGTTCTCAATCTATTTCTGTCTTGAGTTTCTGATGGGTAACATATGTCATCAATGATTACTTCTCATGGTGCACTAATTCTCTACTAGCTAGCAGTATACCCCAATGTTAAGAGTCCAGCCCCATCATCTGGAACATTCCTGGCCTAATGCAGACACCAAAGCCCATAGGTCTTCAGCCTGAAATTCATTTCAATACTGATTTCATTTCTGGTCTCTGACATGGAAATGAACAAAGGCTGTGTTATCACCTACCACTGGTGCATGAGCGTTCATTTTCCTTCTTCTGATCAGACAGCAATTCCTTGAAAGCAACTGTGTTTTAGTCATCTCTCCAAATGGCAGAGTGCCAAATATAAAGCCATCACTTCAAATATCCATTGTACAAGTATTCTCCAACACTTTCTAGGTACCTGAGATATTCAGTCAAAATTTCCCAAACCACAGAAACAGAATAATATTTCACAGGATGCTAAAAAGAAATGAGGTAAAGAAAGGTTTCATAATTAAAAGTTTAAGAAATACTGGGTGAAGACGCCAGCAGGTGGCGTGTTGGCTGGGGGCACTGGACTCCCACATAGCTGACCACGGTTCAAGTCCCAGATCTGGTGGCTTGCTTTCTCACTTTCCCTCTCTCTTTCTCACTCTGTCCCTCTCTGGTCAAACTGAAATACAAAAATAAATAAATAAACAAAGTTAAATTGAACAATTAAATAAATAAATAAATACTAGGTTAAACAAGTTGACAGTTTTGGGGACCAGCAGACAGGGTTAATGTCTGCATCGCAGGTCTCCCACATGGTTCACGGTGGTTCAAGTCCCAGACTCAGCAGCTTGAAACTCATGCCAGGCGCATGTGTGTGCATGCCCAAAATCTCAAAAGGAGGAGAAGAAGGGACTGTGGAATGGCCATCCCTCCTTGGGCGGGGGTGTGATTTCTCACTTTCTGTCTCACTGTGTCTCTCTGTCTCTCTGGCAAGCGCATGTGCCCTATGGCAAAAAAATCTCTTAAAAAATAAAAGGTTGAGTTTTATTTATTCATTTTTAAATATATTCTCCTATTTCTTCCATGAGAGAGAGAGGAGCACCATCAACAGACTCTTTATGCCACAATCCACTCCTAGTCTCAACGGACCTGAATTACAGGCATGCATGTGTGTGCACCTGGAGTGTTTAGGGACCTTTCACATGTAGATCCAGTTGTGTCACTGCTAGACCACCGCCTGTCCCTATGGGTTTATCTTTAGAACATTCTAGAACCTTTAATCTTTTAAACTATAAATCTCTAAGAGCAGACTTCCTCAAACCTGTGTATTATAAAACCCATTCCTACCTTCTAATGCTCATTACTAGCACCTACTAACTTCTCCCTTTCTAGAGTACACAATTAAGGAAATGCTGATAAAGCAATTATTTTCTTTCACAACTTCTTTATATCGCCATTTCTAAGGACATGTTAATAATACTAGTTATATGACTAAGCCTACCAGCCAGTCTCAGTATCCCTCAACTACTCCAAAGCCATTAGATAGTACAAAAAACTTTTTAAAAAATTTACTGAGTGAGAGAGACACTTTACAGGGTCTAGCTGCACTGCTATCCTCCATCCTCCCCCCTGCCTTCCAGCCAGTCAGGATCACAAACTCGCCTGAGTGTATTCCGTTTCAAAATTTCCCAAACCACAGAAACAGAATAATATTTCACAGGATGCTAAAAAGAAATGAGGTAAAGAAAGGTTTCATAATTAAAAGTTTAAGAAATACTGGGTGAAGACGCCAGCAGGTGGCGTGTTGGCTGGGGGCACTGGACTCCCACATAGCTGACCACGGTTCAAGTCCCAGATCTGGTGGCTTGCTTTCTCACTTTCCCTCTCTCTTTCTCACTCTGTCCCTCTCTGGTCAAACTGAAATACAAAAATAAATAAATAAACAAAGTTAAATTGAACAATTAAATAAATAAATAAATACTAGGTTAAACAAGTTGACAGTTTTGGGGACCAGCAGACAGCGTTAATGGCTACATCGCAGGACTCCCACATGGTTCACGGTGGTTCAAGTCCCAGACTCAGCAGCTTGAAACTCATGCCAGGCGCATGTGTGTGCATGCCCAAAATCTCAAAAGGAGGAGAAGAAGGGACTGTGGAATGGCCATCCCTCCTTGGGCGGGGGTGTGATTTCTCACTTTCTGTCTCACTGTGTCTCTCTGTCTCTCTGGCAAGCGCATGTGCCCTATGGCAAAAAAATCTCTTAAAAAATAAAAGGTTGAGTTTTATTTATTCATTTTTAAATATATTCTCCTATTTCTTCCATGAGAGAGAGAGGAGCACCATCAACAGACTCTTTATGCCACAATCCACTCCTAGTCTCAACGGACCTGAATTACAGGCATGCATGTGTGTGCACCTGGAGTGTTTAGGGACCTTTCACATGTAGATCCAGTTGTGTCACTGCTAGACCACCGCCTGTCCCTATGGGTTTATCTTTAGAACATTCTAGAACCTTTAATCTTTTAAACTATAAATCTCTAAGAGCAGACTTCCTCAAACCTGTGTATTATAAAACCCATTCCTACCTTCTAATGCTCATTACTAGCACCTACTAACTTCTCCCTTTCTAGAGTACACAATTAAGGAAATGCTGATAAAGCAATTATTTTCTTTCACAACTTCTTTATATCGCCATTTCTAAGGACATGTTAATAATACTAGTTATATGACTAAGCCTACCAGCCAGTCTCAGTATCCCTCAACTACTCCAAAGCCATTAGATAGTACAAAAAACTTTTTAAAAAATTTACTGAGTGAGAGAGACACTTTACAGGGTCTAGCTGCACTGCTATCCTCCATCCTCCCCCCTGCCTTCCAGCCAGTCAGGATCACAAACTCGCCTGAGTGTATTCAGTTTGAACTGGAATCTGAGCCCTGGGCCTTTCCACATGGTTCCAGGATCACACAAAAGCAACCTGCCACATGTCCAAAAGTGGCTAGACCCAAAAAACTTTCAGAACTCATTCTGGATGCTTTCTTTTTAAAATTTATTTCCTTACAGATAGAGACAGAGAGAGAAAGACAGAGATAGACACTCCCAAAGGGTCTGCATGCCAAAATCCATCCCTAACCCCAGTCGGCCCAGATCATGGGCACAAACACAAGACCAGTATGTTCAGGGATACAAACTAGGACCTTTCCATGTGGGGTCAGTGGCATTACTGCTATGCCACCACCTGGCCCCTCAGGATACTTTTAAATGGTAAGTTCTCTTACAGCTTTTAAATAGGACTTAACTTATAAAAAGTCCATTTATAGGGAACCAGCAGTTAGCATAATGGCTATGTCGCTGGACTCCCACGTAGTCGACTGCGGTTCATGTCCTGGACCCGGTGGCTTAAAACTCACACCAGGAGCATGTGAGTGCGTGCCCAAGATTCTGAGACGAGAATGGATAAGAGATTGAGGCGTGACCATCCCCCCTGGAGGGTGATTTCTCGCTTTCTGTCTCTATGTCTCTGTCTGTCTGTCTGGCGAGCACACGCGCCCTGTAGCAAAAACTTCTCAAAAAAAAAAAAATTCCATTTATAAACACCATAAGATCAGAAGGTATGTAAAACCTCATGTTTGTAAAAGCAATAGCAAAATTTGTTAAACTCTGGATAGCTAAAGTAACCTGACATCTTCTCAGCAAAACCAAAGACAATACAAATAAAAAATACGAAGTAGACCCAGCCTCTGTGGCACAACTGTCAGCATACAGAGTTGCAGTGCTGGAAGTCACATGACCAACCTTGGATTCAGATACCCAGCCCAATAGACCTGAAACATGTTGGGCTCAAGAGCCCAGCCTGCTGAAGGCCTGGGGGAAAAGGATCCCATGTGACTATACCCTGCGAAGCGTGCTTCTCTCACTCTTTCTCTCTCTTTCCACCCTCACACCCATGCAAATTCTTTATCATAACTAAAATAAACTTAAAAATAAAAAAGACAGTGTATTTCAAAGAATCAAGACCAATAAGAAGGTAAAATAGATTTGGAAAACAAGTGTACTATTCTTCTCTGGGAGATTCACAATACTTATTAGTAACACATTATATATTCCAAGAAGTCCTCCAATTAAAATAATAATAATAATAATAATAATAAAAGGATACTATTTGAAATGTTGCTTACCAAATTTACCTGATCATAAAATCTTCTTTTGTGAACATTTATTTTTTTAAATAATTATTTTATTATATTTATTCATTCATTTATTTTTTTAATTTGACCAGAGAGAGACAGAGGGTGAGAGTGAGAGAGAGAGGATGTGAGAAAGCTGGCCACCAGATTCAGGACTCGAACCGTGGTTGGCCACATGGGAGTGTCCAGCACCTTAACCACCAAGCCACCTACTGGTCCCCTTATGAACATTTATTAAAGTCCCGACACAAGGTAATAAATATCTAAAATCTTTATAGTTGGATCTGATTTTAAAAAAGCGTATCACACAACCTTCAGTCCTCCTTCTTCAGCCTCAACACTTTACAGTGTTGAAACAAAGCAATCTTTTAGGAAAACCTGACTAGGCAGCAGGTAATCGGAAGGTAAACTTCTAAATTATCTCATGTAATCTCATTTCCACTCAGTTTCTCTGCTTAGAAATTTAAGTTCAAAGATTAAGATATAGAAGAAAAATAAAGACAAACTTTTATCTTAATAGTTAACTTTCCAAATTTATATTAGGGAATAAATTAATTCTAGACACTATTCCTAGAATCATACAAAACACTGGTTTGGGTTAAAAGCAGGCCAATAGACGACCAGCAGGTGTGTGGTGGTAAAGGCACTGGATTCCCACATAGTCAATCGTGGCTGGCCCCAGCAGCTTGAAAATCACACCGGGCATATGTGCGTGCATGTCCCAAATCCCAGGAGAACAGACAAGGGATTGTGGCACAACTATCCCCCGCCGGGGATCTCACTTTCCCTCTGTCTCTCTCTCTCTCTCTCTCTCCTGAAAGTGCACACACTCTGTGGGAAAACTAAAAAGAATAAAAGGCAGAATTCTAGAAATGTCTCTGATACTTGCTTTTTTAAAAATTATTACTCTGTATAACATGTTTCCCCAGCTGTAAAATTCTGTAATAGATATTCTTAGCTATGTGATAACTCCCAACACTTAAGTCTCCACCCTGAAAGTCTCACCCATATCTGAACATTATTTAATCCTTTCCTGAATCAAATTTGACCTTTTTTCACTTTTTGTTATTTTGTTTGACTCACTCTCTCCATGAGAGAAGATGATAAATTGACCTATAAACAGAATGGCAGGTACTTTATCATCTTATTACTCAGGAACAGTTAATTAACAAATGAAACACAATGGGAATTAACCAGTTTGCAAATTCTCTACTTTAAAACTCCAAACTAAATGATGTGTTTTGCAAAACCATTCTACTAACTAAACATTGCAAAAGTATAACTGATTCTGAAGTCAACTCTACTCTAATAATTTCAGTAAGCTATTTATAGGTGTTTCTGTTTTTAATGTGAGGTTTTTTTCATCTACTCTAAATTTAAACCTGCTCCTCATTTTCAGAAGCTGAAATGAGCATAAAGTTGAACACACAGGAGAGGGCAGACAGTGGCAGCAGTGTAAGGCTGACTCACAAGGGAAAGTTCCAAGTTGACGTGTGGTGACCTCCCTGAATAAACCAGGCGTGCATTCATCCATGATCTTGGGCTGGCTGAGGCCCCAGATCGCAGTATTAAGACTCTATTGGAGATCTTGCTCTCTGTTGTGCATACATGCTCTCTCTCTCTCTCAGTCATGGAAGAAATAAACGAACTTAAAAAAAAGAAGCCATGCACGGTGGCAGCTACTAAGAAGGCTGAAGCAGGAGGATCATGAGATCAAGACTGGTCTGGGCAACAATGCAAGACCCTGTTCTCAAAAACAGGGGACCAGCAGGTGGCATGATGGTTAAGGCACTGGACACTCCCACATAACTAACCATAGTTCAAGTCCCAGACCTGGTGGCTTGCTCTCTCATTTCCCCCCTTTCTATCTCTCTCTGTCAAATTAAAAATAAATGAATGAATAAAATTTAATAAATAACTATTTTTAAATTAATAATAAACAAAAAAGTTAAATACAGGAAAAATTTATACCAACAAGTACAATCCACCTCTTGTTCAGCTGTCCCATGTAAAAGGTTGCAAAGACTAAGTTTCCTAGAAAGCTTCAATTCTAATATTACAGTTGTAATTCCTTTATTCTTCCAGTAGTCAAATCAGTTGTAAATTTCAATAAGAAAGGTAAGAACAAGGACCGACAAAGACAGTAATAAAGGAACACTGTGGATGGCTGCCCACCTGGGAAGGTTCCAGGCTCATGCCTGAAGAACTCTCTGATTACACCTTGGAGCACATGCAAGCCCATGATCTGGGCTAAGTGAGGAGAGGAGTAGACTGTGGCATCAAGACCCTGTTGTGTGTGTGTGGGGGGGAGGGGGCCCCCTGTTTCTTTTTCTCTATGTCTGCCTCACTCATGGAGAAAATAATTACAAACTTTAAAAAAAAAAAAAGGCAAGAGCATAATTTTTTTTTTCAGAGAGAGATTTTTGCTATAGGGTACGTGTGCTCACTGAAAAGGCAGAGAGGCAAAAAGCGAGAAATCACTCCCCAGGAGGGATGGTCACCCCACACTGCAATCCCTTCTCCATTTTCCTCTCAGGATTTTGGGCACACATGAACATGTGCCTGGCATGAGTTTTAAGTCACCGGGTCCAAGACTCAAACTGTGGTCGACTATGTGACAGTCCAGCGATGTAACCATTACACCATGGGCACTTGTCCAAGCATACCCAAAATACTAAAAGGAGAGAAAAAGGGAGGAAAAGGAATTGCATTACTATGCCCCATAGGGGTTGGGGTTTATGCTTTCAGTTCTGTCTCTGGTGTGCACATATCCTCTAGTGTACGTGCGCGCACACACACGAAACAAAAAAAGTTTACTCCTGACAATGTCCTTGTTAGTGTCAATTTTTGAGTATAACAGTCAGCACCCTCTTTCAGATAGTAACAAAACGACTGACTCTCAAAAACGCACAGTAAAAAGCCGTTCTAGGGAAGATATGTCAATTTTTTCATAGCTAATATCTCAAAAAGGTGCACACGGAAGTGATGTGATTCACGATCTATCTCCAGGAACATTCCAGGGCTCTTCCATCAGATCAGATCTAAGCTCATTCACAAAGTTATTGATTAGCACTGATTTCTGTTGAGACCACAGGGGTGGTACAAGTCGGATTCTGTGTAATACCATGTTCGTGGATCTAGTAAGGATCTTTTCTCTTGGGCCTGTCGGAAAGAAAGCAACTAAAAAAAAATAATAATTTTTGAAAGGTAAGTTCGAAAGAATGCAAGTTAAGTTTAAGAGCCTCACCCGACGTTCCACAGGTTGTCTCACTCACCTGGTGGACCTTTTGGAAGGCACTCCCTGCCACCTCAGGTCCCTCAGCTCTTTTTTTTTTTTTTTTTTTTCAATATAAAAGACACGTTTTCTCCCCTTTCGCTCCTTCTCGGATCAAAGGCGCCCACTCAGGCCCCACATCTCCCCTCTAGGGTCCGCCCTCCTCTCAGGTGTCCCCCCCGGGGCCGCCACCACCCGCCCGCGCGCAGATGCCGGCCCCGGGCCCCAGCACCGCAGGCGTCGCGCGCAGGGCGAGGCGTGAGCGTCTGGCGAGGTCGGGGTCGCACACACGAGCTTTAGGGGTGATCGAGGGCCGCGGGCTCGAGGGCTGGGGTGGCGCCGACACGACTGCCTCGGAGATACGACGGCCAAAGAAACGACAGCCTTCTCCGCCTCCCC